CAGCCCGGCGTCACCACCGTGAGTATCTTTGATAGTATCGAAACTAATAATGATGTTCGATATTTAAAAAACTATACAAAAAAAAAAAAAAGAAAGACCGGTGAAAAACTAGTTCAAATGTATAATTACTTATATTTTCGAAAATTTAGTTATATATTCTGTACCGTAGGTTAGTATGAAATTCAATAATAACACGTTAATTCGCATATAGATATAGCCCTACCGCATCTCCACTGAATGGTTCACAGTACTATGGCGAACCCATATGCATTTCGATTGACGACGATCACATATGGAGTAGCGATGAAGGCGACTTATAGCATCATGATGTTCGGCCCACCGGGCTGTGATTTTGTCTTTTCAATTATGTTAACATTTACCTCATTGAAGGAATTCAATTTTTTTTTTTTTTTTTTAAATTATCATGTTACTTTTTGTTCAATTCAATAAAAAATAAAATTTCACATTTGTGTTTCAATATTCTACAACTTTTATATAACCGTTTCAAGTAATTGATGTGAATTATATCTTTGCGAGTAGATGATATTTTTTAAATAATATTTACGAAATATTAAATTAATGATTTTATTTATAACAAGCTGGATTACTCAGCTTCTCCCGTGTTCGATTTTGAATCAAATTATACTATTTATTAAATTAATTTTAGTTACGAAAATAATTTACATCAATACTCTATAGCATAATCTCAGTAATCCAGCCGTTCGATAATCCAGTACGTTCAGTAATCCGGTTGTATTAACCGGCTATATTACCATGTATCTATGATACAAATAGGATATAAGAAAAAATAACGAAAAGATAAAATCTTGTAATTGTTATATAAAAAAAAATAGTGTTAATCGAATTAGGAAATTGCATTTATTAGAGTTATTTAGAGAGGGAGGGTGACAATTTTAAGCTCTTCTGAATCTTCTGTCATATTCTCTTTTTTAAACCCATTCAGTTTGAACTACTCGTAAATTATTTCTAGCTAAACGTTTCCTATAAGCATTATTTGAAGAAAGTCCAAGATTATATCTTCTTTTTGGCATTTTAAGATTGAGTACTAAAAAAGAACGATCATACTTAACACGATTTGTGGGCCATTGTCATGGGTAAAGAGTTGAGAAGACAAGATATAGAAGGGAATTTAATGTATATCTATACGCAACGATTAATCAGTGCTAAAGAAAAACGAATTTGGGCAGAAGTTTGGTTATATAAGATTTAAAAGGCAGTAATATTTTCGATTTTCGTTAAAATTTGGTATTCAAATTCTTATAAAAAAAAAAAAATTCTACATTAAACTCAACTATTTTTTTGTTTCCCGCTAAGCACAACTTATAGAAATAAAACTCCCTTTAAATTGTAAAGCATTCCTGTTTAATCTAACAATTTTATCCGCAGAGTAACTACCTTGATTCTTTGTGGGAATGACTTCCCGCAAGAACAAAGTACCCTCGTAGCATCGCGATACACTCACAAAAAAAAAAAACTACCTTGATTTTGAACTGATTCCCGTCAACCCGTTAACGAGATTATTACATTTTACGCAGGGGGGTAGTGGTGCATCATTTGTGCGGAACTTGAATAGTGTTTCACCACTTTCCTCGTACCTAAATTTTAATGTGTAAGATCTCTTCAACGGGTCGACGAAAATCAAAAATATATTTAAATTATGCTCCTATCTAAAAGATGAACATAATTCTCACGTGAGTAAGCCACTGTTATAGGTGAGAAGTTGGAAAAGTATAGGGGAAATTTAATGTATTTCTGTACGCAACGATTAACCGTTGCTAACGAAAAAACGATTCTGAGCGGAGTTCGGTTAACATTGCTGCTTAGTCAACAATATATAGGTATGTAATATTATAGTAAAATAATAACATATGCATTATATACTTTCTTTAATAATATTTGTTTAATATTGTACCTATTTTCCCGGTTTCCGTACGTTTTTTTCCCATTTATTATGAAAACCACTGGAAAAATACCACTTCGGTCATCAGATTTTAACTATGAAATCGTGTCCCGAACACAATAACATGCACGGCGTGTATAGAAGCCGAGTATAAATGATGTATCATTGTAAAAATATCGATATTAATACTGCCAACCTATAAAATACACGAGACCAAAACCGGCGGACTGGTAACCGGTTCCGGAACGGTCGCCTCGGGCCCGGGATCCTATGGAACTGCTGGCTCCTCGGTCAAGGCTATAAATATCGCGTGCGCGCAGCCGCCGTTATTTTAATGGAAATATTATATAAACTTCTCGGATATGAAACGTAATAAATTTTTCCGCCGACGGTGTAAAATGGATTTTGGGCGACCGGTGCCGGCAACTTCTCTTGGCCGCTAAAAACGATTCACCGTAGTCGTCGACCGGACCGGAGGCATGCGCGGATTCACTCTGCGTTACTATTGATGGCCGCTTCCTAATAATCGTTTAGACTATCGGTCGTTCTCGACGGTTTCGATGGACTATCGAACAGGCTTTTTTTTTACATAACTCGATAGTTTTAAATCGATCAAATAGTACGACAGTAACTATTCTGTTGTGTACATCACTCATTTTTACCGTTTGTAATAGTGTTTTCCGAGAAGAAAAAACACTTCTTTGTAAAATTATTATTGTTCAGCAATATCAGTAATACATTATCTCATTTTTTGATCTGCGTAGTTAGTTTCATATTTGAAACATTAAGGTTTTTTTTCATAAAATGCTATTTTCTGTGCTTTATTTGAATATACCAATCAAAATATAGATAAAGAACTTTCTTTTTATCGGTTCTCTAAATTGAAAACTAATGTCGCGTTCGATATTAATATATATTGACAAAACATTAGTGGAAGTCGTGGATTAAAGTGATTGATCGCGGATAGACCACTTTTGTAGGCGGATAGTTGCAGAGCAGGTCAAATCTAGAGCGTGATTTAATAAATAATATAATACCGACAAATCATTACCACCAAACAAACGATTCCGAGTATAAAATATTATTAAACGTATTTCTCCCCTTGTTGTCGATTAGGCAACCCTACAAAAATCAACATAAGTCAAACAACGGCACACAAAGTATAGGAGGAGAACTGCTGAAAATATTGATAAATGTTTCAAATAAAGTACCACCGGACCAAAAATTTCGCGTCTTTAGAAATACTGCGTGACAAATCGATGTATTTGCCCAACTATAAAATCGTTTTATTAAAAAAAAACATAAAAAGCTTCTTAATAATCATTTTAGATTCTGAAAGGAACGAGGAGTGTATTAGTTTTACAATGATGTTCGTTAATTTTTTTTTCTGTGAACAATTTTTCTACCGGAAAATTTGCTTCGATTTTCCACTGTAGTACTTTTTCTTAAAAGATATTTGACCGAAGTGGTACTTTAAGAAAGTTATTTTTTGATTTTCTCGGGGGTTTTCATAATAAATGGGAAAAATCGGTAAAAAAACGTTAGAAATATGGGAATATTTACGAAATATTTTATTTTCAAATCGTAAGTATTACGGCCTTTGAAAACGTGTATAACCAAACTCCGCTTAGAATCGTTTTTCTTAAGCAATGATCAATAGATTTGTACAGTTGTATATTAAATTTTCCAACTTTTCACCTACAACAGTGGCCCACCCATCGTGTGAAATATGTCCGTTTGTTTTTTTTTTTTTTTTTCATTTTTTACTCCATTCTCCTAGGACCTTCTTCTCTTAACCTGGGAAAGAGATGTTTAAAATCGCGATTTTTCGGCGAAACGCGGCCTATTATTTAATTAAATATGAATATACTTTGGTCGTGATGGAAACATACAGTATCGAGGACGCCCGGGATCGCCCGGCCACTGTCCTCCGTGCGCTTCCCGGAGACAGGCAGGCGGCGGCGCGGCATCGAATTTGACTATTAATGGAATAATTAATTTTATTATTTCCTCGGGCACAACCGTTCGGATTAAATTTGACGGTTATACGCTCTCGGAATCACGGTCTCGGAAGATAAGGTCGGGACAGGGCCGCTATCAAACGCGGCCGCATGAAGACGCAGTTTCAATACCCGTTTTGTCCGCAATTTCAATAGCGCAACGAGCGTAAATGTTGTGCGTTTCGCAGGGTTGAAAAATGATGAAATTTAAATCGATTCAAATAAACAGTAACGATTGTAAAAGATGATTATTATATTACTGTTAGTTGTATAAACTTAAATTGTTGACGTTTTTGACGATTTTAGAATACAGTCGAACACAACGCGTTAATACCGATTTTCTCTCAACGATTTGATCTCTGAAAAAATCTTGGGAAATTGGTGAACTAAAATTGATGCTTCCAGTGGCGTAACCAGGTTTTTTCAATGGAACGTAGGAAGAGACTAAACTTAAGAAAAACTCGAATAAAAAATAAAAATATTTTGCAGAATACAAAAATTATAAAGTACTATAACTATGTACATAGTTTAATCAATGCAATACTGCAATGGTTATCATTTTATTAGTAATAATTTGGCGATGCTGAATAGTTTGTATTAATTTTTTTTACTTGACAAGGCCAATAGGGTGGGGTGGGAGGGGGCTCAAGCCATCAAAGCCGTCCCCTTGGACGCGCCACCAGACGCTTCTCTAAACGGCCCGAATAATTTGCACATAGAAGATAGCCAGCGTTCCAACCTTAACTTTTATAAGACCGTGGACGGGAAATACCGTTCCGGATATGGCGCAAGGCCGGGGCTGATCGTGATTTTTCCCCTTGAAACGGCATGGGCGCCGCCTACAACCGATTTCGGGTCGCCCCCGGGCCAAAGCGCGGACCGACGACGAGGAACGACTGACTGTGCGTATAATATCATTAATAGGTCACTGAAACCAGGGTTAGCTTTGGTTAGGTTCATTCGCGAATATCAAATATATAAATATTCGCGAGAAAAAACAAAAAAAAAAAAAATAATAATAAATTTCGATCGTTCGGGTTACTGCGCGATACAATAATTATTATTATTATTATTACTCGCTCCGCCAATAAAATAATATACGTACGTGTATATATACTTTATAAGGTAATAATATATCAATATTATAATAATACAGTAGTTATCGTAATATTATACAAACATATTTTGCGCAAATTATATTTTTATGCACACACACACGATTATAATTTCAACAGAGTATATTTACATATTATGTTTAAACGCGTGGTTATAACGGTTTCAGCGAGACGCGCCGTCTCGTTATACCGGCCGGTCGCGGCGGTCCGAACGACCGTATAATGCGATATATTAGTTGTTACAAGTTAGTTGTTCTCGAGTTCCATTTGGATTTCGGCTAAGGATCGGTTTTTCGTCTCGGGAACGCGGTTGACGACGAACAGCATGCCCAGAAAACAGAACCCGGAATACACGAAAAACGTCCCACTCGGCCCGATAAACGTGTCCATGGGACTGGCCAGACACGTCACTATCCACACGAATATCCAATTGGTAGCTATGGACATGCCCGTGCCCATAGACTTCAGCTGAAAATCGCCAAGTCATGTAATACGATTCATATATCGTACAATACAATACGCTTACTTCGGACGAGAAAATTTCTCCGATGAGTATGTACGGTATGGGGCCGCAACCGATCGAGTACATGGACACGTACAATACGATGGCCACCAACGGTAACCAATCCAGTGAGTCGGCGATACGAGGATTGTATTTTTTCGTGAAAAAATAATACGACAATCCTAGCAGACAGATTCCCATCGAAGTCATCGAGTACACTAATAACGAACGCCTCCCGAATCTGTCGGTGATCATCATCGATACGAACGTCATAACTACCTATACAAAACATAAATAAAAAACACTATGATAATAATCGCCTCGGAAACAATATTTATTAAACATCTGAAATCGATTAAGCTGGTTCGTAACAAGCAGAATTGAGCAGAATTTCAAACCGTTGAATTTTAAAATCAATAATTCTTTCCGGAAAGATTTAGGATTTTCAAAATCCATTTTTCGAGGATTTTATACAGACATTTTTGACAACAGTTTTATGCGTAGGGATCATGGTTGTAGGTCCACCGTCAACCGTGATGGAGAATATTTTATATCATTTGCCGTGATATTGCATTAATCTATAATCCTGTTTGGTAATATTTTTGTTTAATAAATAAATTCTATATATAGGTACTGGTATACATTTTTTTTTTTTTTTTTATCAACTGGCAACTCTATCATCATATCTAATTGTTGAATATTAAATATATTTTAATAAAGTTTATAAATTAGAATTCTTTATTATAATTCATTGATATTTAACTCGTGGTATTCATTTTTCTACTGACTATTTAATATTTATAAATTACAATCCGTATCATAAATAAATACTACTTTTGTATCGTATAACTTAATTTACTAATTACGCGTTAATTTCGGAGATCATATTTTATATAACACTTGGATTTTTATAATTTTTTATCCATTTTATTAGGATTTTGTATTTGGGTTTTCAAATTTCAATTTTCAAGAATTTAGATTTGGATTTACAAAATTAATTTTTAAGAAATTTTGTCAATCTCCTGTAATACAACCTGTAATAAACAATCAAATACTATATGATATTATTATATCCTAAAGAGACGAAAAAGACGAGACCAAAACGCAGAAGGAACAAAATTGAATTGGGTATTTGTTTCCATTATATCTTCTTGGAAATCGAATAGATCGTAAAATAAAAATATTTGATTTGTATGAGGAATTCCTTCAACAAATCGACTCCTAAAATCGATGAATAATTTGCGAAGATTCAATAATTATTTACGGTTTATTTGTTTCATTCAAATATTATTATCCACAATACCTTGAGCATTTTCCGTTTATCAACACATAGTCTTACATGCGGTCGTTACTATTGGTGTAAAATGAACAACAACCTTCGTGATGTTTTTTTCAATAGATTTTTATTCTATACCAGTGATCTTCAACTTACATCAAGATCTAATTTTGGGTTGTACATAATTGGGTCTCTCTGACATTTGGAAATTTGTAAAAAGTTTTAAACGGTAAACAAATTTAAAGGCTTTCTTGCTTGATTGTTATTTTATTACGCGATAATAATGCGAAATATATTTCCATTTATAAAATAGATAATTAAATAAATTAAATTATCATAATTAATACATGTAAGGGGGTATGGGACCACAGCCCTTCCCCGTTTAAATTTTAACTATATTTTTAAAAGATCGAGTGAAAAATTGGTTAATTACTATGGATCGCATATACGCTAAGGTCGAAAATCAAAGATCCAAACAATTAAAAAAAAGGGTCCTAGGATAATGGGATAATAGATCAGAAGCTGGAAAGATAGGTAAGGAGAAATTTAATGTTTAACTGTACGCAAAGATAAACCATTGCAAATGAAAAATCGATTCTAACAGCAGTTCAATTGATAGTGTTGCTTTTTCAACACTATACATGTCATATTATAATAAAATAATTGTGTATGCATTAAATATTTTCTTTAATAATATTTGTTAAACATAGTATTTATTTTGCTTTTTTCACCAAGTTTATTCTAGGGTTTTCGCATTTATTAGGAAAACTCCTGGGAAAATCAAAAAATGACCTCCTTAAAGTCAAATTTCCTTTCAAAAAAGTTGATCACATATCAAAAAAAAAAAAAATAAATAAATATAAAAAAGTAATTAATCCAATACATTACTCGCTCCACTCAGAATCTAAAATAAATAAATCAGAAAACAACACAAATTCGTCGTTTTATCGGATAAAATTCTCACGTGATTTTCTAAATCCTTCAAGTATGCGTCGTATTTGTGCAACAATTAATGTCGAATAGTTCGCATAACGCAACAGGAAGATAATGAAAATATTATTATTATATTATTAAATGTACCTATATCGCTTTTTAAATAAAGCAGTTGACATTGTAATTGCTGCTACAGTGTAAAACGTATTTGATAAAATATTTGTTGTGTTTTTTTCTTACGATTTTATAAACGACAAGGAACAATTAAAAATACTAACAGTTTAAATTAAGTAGTTTACCGATAAATATTTTCCATACTTCTACAACATCAGTACCGAGACCGATTGAATTTTTTTTCTTATTAATTACTATAATAGCTGGTACTACTAAATAGCCTTTAAGCTGCAATAGTAATAGTCGCGGTAGGAATATCGAGTCACTAAACGGAATAATGAGAATTCAATTTAATTATTTATTAGGTCGGTCGGACGGAATGGAACGGTAAAAATATAATGATTTTTTTTTTTTTTTTTTTTTTTACAATTTTTAATTTGCAATAGACCACAGAACTTAAATCACTGGGTAATCAGAAGGTCGAGAAAAAATTTGCAATCATTATTATAAAACACGAATAGTTTTTTTTTTCTAAGTTCGATAAGCGCTTCTTATATCGATACGTGAAATATGCAATTATAATGATATTATACTTAACATTATCATTGTTTAGTAAGTTATAATTCAAGAGTAATTAATTTTTCGCGAGATACGAAATCAAAATATGATATTCAAATAATATTCGCATAAAAAAAATATTATGAAAAAAATTTGCAAACAAAATGGAAAGATGCTCATTCAAAAATCGAATAATAGAAGAAATTAAAAATAGGTAATAATATCTGCTGCTAGATGTCGTGCATAATTTTATTAGTTTTTTTTTTTTGTTATTCTTAAAATCAAACAGTTGACCATGAGATATTATCATGTCGTCTTTGCATGAACGTGTTTTTATTTATCTAATATTATACCTAATATATTATTGTTGTTATTAAACATGGTTGAGGGCCAATATTTCACAACAATATTCAAAACGTTCGTGCACTTAAATTGCCTATACAATACGCCGTGTGACCTTAGTACTCTTAGCTGCTACGAAGATCTGACCTTATCTAACCTGACTCAACCTAACTTGCATGAATTTGCAGTTGAAATACTCTCTTATTGTGTTGACATTTATTTTGAAAAAATTCGTACTATTATCACAGGACTTTTTTTTTTTAAAAGCCTATTATCTATTTAATATTGTTTAGTTGTCCACACCTGAATGATTCCGACGATAGTCGTAGATACTTCGGGACTGAAATCACTACCCGACGTTTCAAATATGTGTTTCAGGTAGAAAATGATCACGTTGATGCCAGTCATTTGCTGGAAAAACATGCAACCGATACCGATGGTCAACGCTTTTCGATTCACATCTTTCTCCAGGACTTCACGTGCCGTGAACCGGTTGCTCTGTTCTTCTTCCACAAATTTCTGCGTACCCGACAAAAGAAAACCAATAGAAATAGCTAATCTACATATTAAAACAATTTTCCCACCCCTCTATTGTGTTTTCTCTTATATCCACCTGTATTTCGTCGAGTTCGGACTTGCAATCATGGTCGGGACTCCGGAGTCTAGCCAACGCCTCTTCTGCGCATACCTTTTTGTCCTCCCGGATCAGGAAATATGGAGATTCCGGGATATATAGTACACCCAACATATGCAGTGCCATCCACACACCACACGCCAGGTTGAACTGAGTGTAAGTCATGATGTTACCGAGTGAATACGAATAAAGGATGCCGGCCACGACGAACAACTGATGAAGACCGCCGAGAAAACCTGAAATAATGAAAAACAAAGAAATGGATGAAAAATACATTTCGCAAATCAGTCATGAAAATGAAACCGATAGCGTGTTGATGTTCCGTTGTTGGGTGAAATTTATTTAGGACCGCAGTATGGTTTTGTTAACAGATTATTAATACCTAGTAAAAATAGTATACGGTTTTGAAGCTTTTTTTAAAATTAAGTTATCACAATTTGTCGTCAGTTTTTCTCTATTAAACTGATACTGCTATTTGGTGTTATACAACGCTGAACCAATGGTAACAAAAAAGGATTTTGATCCGAGTACCAGATGATTCATTTAAGTGGGTACACTCATTATTTCGGAAAGTATTAATTTTTCCCAGAATTTGTTTTCTGAGAACATTTAAGAAACAAGTTACTCCACAATTTTATTTCTTAAATGTTCTAGAAAACAAATTCCGGAAAAAGTTAATACTTTCTGAGATAATGAGTGTATTCACTTAAACGAATCACCTGGTATTATTAGTTGTATTTTCCCTTGTTGCTAAGGTAACCTAAAAATCAACAAAACTATACAAAAAGTTACTAATTTTTGTATTGAAAATCAAAAAACAACATCCTCAACAAATCAATTAGATTAGAAATGTTACAAGTCCCTACAAAATTTTTAATTAGAGTACGGTTTCTTGTGGATGAGTTCTTTACAGATAGACAAAAAAAAAAACACATAATAACAAAATCGATTTATCCCTCGCTTCAATCTGAACTTGAAATTATCCCACGTATTCACCGAGTAAACCAAAATTGTTACCGGGGTGGAAACCCCACCCCTTCGCGGTATATTTTTTTTGTTTAGCGGAGTATAATTCGTCCGGTTGAATTCGTGCAGTTATTTTTAGGTTAGGGTCATTTAAATAAAAACCTCGAATTTCGGGTTCCGCTATTTCGCCGACGTACATGGGTATTATGGTGCCCATGGCTCCACACCCGACGCCCTGCAATATACGTCCCACATACAGCATGCGCCTGGCCTTTGGAAACGCCACCATCAGCCACCCGAAGAACACGTGCGCCTCACTGACGATAAGCGAAATGCGGCGCCCAAACACCGCAGACACGGCACCCGCCGGCACTGCTCCGATTACCGCACCCGCGCCAAACAGCGAACTCACCGTAGCCGCGGCCATGGGTGACACTTCAAAGCTAACGGCAGTTCCGTTTTCCAACATCGTTTGAGCCGGAGACGACCATCCGAGCACGGTGCCGACCACGAAAGCTCCTAAAGACGCTGTAAAAAAAATCAGAAACAACACATTACAAAATCATTCTGCACGTATATTGGGACATAATTCGAGCCATGGGTAAACCATCGATGTAGATCATAGATTAAGTGGTAATTAATGCATGGTGTAGGCAGAAAAGTATTGTAATCCAAATTCAACTGAGGATAGCGCTGATTTCGTTAATCGTTTATCGTTACACACTTTCATAATTGTTTATACCAATGTATTTTATCGTCTAATATGTTCGTCTGAAAAAATGCGCATGATATACAATACGCTACAATGAAATATTATGTACGGTCCAGAGATAGTCTTCTTACTTTAGTCCAATAAACTGCTACCAAAATGCAAACAATTCGAATTTAGATCTCAATCAAATGCAAAGTAGTAATTTAGTTTATGCTAATCCGAAAATGAACATGAACAATTGCAAACAAAATTATTTTTCTGGTAAAAAATTAAAAAAGTTTCCCTAATCCACTCAGAATCTTAAGTTATACATCGTCTGTTCAATGGATCCCAGTGATATCATTGAAACTAACGGTTTGCTTTGATTACAATAAATTGTATATGGTGGTTTAATTTTCGATTATCGTATCGCCAAAAATATGGTATTTCTGATATTAAAATAAGTTATAATTTAACGTTTAAAATCATGTTCACTTGAGAAAAATAATTCGAGTGTAAATACTGATAAAAATACAAAGATATTATCATGTTAAAGGAAAAGTTTTAACTCTGTCGCATCTCCGTGTAAAATATTGTTAATTTTGAATTAGAACTTTAGTGACAAAAACGTTTTATGATACATCAGTGGCTCAGCTAGAAGAGAGATCTCCGGATCTGGACCCACCCCTTCTTGGGCAGTACTATACGTTTTTATAATAAATTATAATACCGTTTGATATAAATAATAATTGATTGAAGATTTGGGCTAGTTCGACTACCGTGATAACGAAAATGTTAATTTCCACTGTTTTTTAGTAGATAAAATAGGACTAAAAATAAACGTTGAAAAGACAAAGATCATGAAACCATTATGTATGCGTAAATACAAAAAAATGACTGGTCACAAGAGATTGAAATAAGGATAGATAAAGCAGGAAGGGCGTCCTTTGCATTATCAACATTTGATTATTGAGAAAACAAAAGTTAGACTATGCGTAGTGATAGTGAGAGCCATATTAACATATAGAAGCAAGTATGGACGACTACAGGTGTAATAGAACGAAGACTTACCACTTTCGAAAACAAAATATGGCGTATGATATATGGTCCCAAATTAGTCGCAAACACTGGTATGCGAAGAAGAAAGTTTAACAATAAATTAATCGAGGAAACAGAAATGACTCCAATTAAATATTACACGAGAGGCCAGAAAATCCAGCTGTTTGGACACATTATGCGTGAAAGTGACGATAAAATAATCAAAGCAGTTCTGTCTTGGAAACCAACAGGTAAGAGACCACGAGGACGTCCGAGGTAAGGTTGGGTGGATGTGGTTGAAGAAGATCTAAAATGTATAGGAATAAATGATTGGAGAAATATAATCCATGATCGGAAGAAGTAGTTATGATGGCCACAAAAACTGTTGAAGAGTACATTAAGCCAGAAAAAGAAGAAGAAAAATTTAACAATTTACATAATTCGTTTATCATTTTCGTAGTTTTTCTGACTATTTTTACTTATTTCTATTATTAGGTATATTACAAATATTTGATTTTATTTCATGTACGTAATGAATAGTATAATTAATAGTAATTAATCGATTATGAAGTCAGTGTAATACCTGGTGTAAACTAATTAATAGTTTAAGCTTTTCCAAACGTCGTTTAGATTTCATTTTATAAACTGTTAGATGTCATACTATTTATTATGACATTCTGTATGTATCCTAATTGTATAGTTTTAATTTTGTATTACAATCAACTTAATATTTAATTGTATCGCTATATTAAATTAATTATATTTTTGAACCTTCTATCCTTGTCAAATCACTTATATTTATATTTTAATATTTTATTAAGTTATTAAATGTTTAAATTAAGTGTTGTTGTTAGAGTGTTTCGAATCGGGAAAAGTACAGCTCCTTAAGGGACTCTGGAGAGAATCGAAATCCTCCCAAAGAGGACCCCCCCCTCTTAAAAAAAAGTCCTGGTTGCGCTACTATACTGTTTCTGAATGGTTGTCATATCGAAGTTAGGGCAATTATTGGGAATTAAGGCGTCGATACATACGGCTATAAACAATTAGGTATCTGAACAAAGATTTTGTAAGTAATGATGAAAAAAAAAATCCGCTGGAATATCGTTTGGAAACGCTTATTATGGCGATTGGGTATATAGGCGTATAAAAACATCATATCGAATATTATAATTCGATGGACATGAATTTCGCGAAAATCGTCACGATCGTCTCGACGTTACGAAAACTCGCGCCACGTTCGGAATGCGTTATGGAATACGGCGTAAACCCAATCGCATTAATATTTAAAGAACTGTTCCGATTTGCATGTATCGATGTCACGATTACAATAATAATATCGTCCGGATTAGCAATTTATATTCCACGTACCCGAACCCTTGTGCGATGCCAGCTGACTTGGACGTCTGACAAAAGTAATAATAATGTTTCGATATTATTATGTTTGGGTTTCGATTTCAATAAATCTCTCGGACCGAACGATTATTATAAACAACGCACGCCACGATCACAGCACGGTATGAGGAAAAACTTAACCTTATAGTTGTATTATTATGACATTATTATCGTCGTGTATACTGCATGAGATGTATCCGATACGTTCTTTGGTTTTACTACGGTGTGTGTGTGTGTGTGTGTGTTTTTTTTTTTGTCTGCAAAAACATATTTTGTACCAAAAAGTCTTTATAGCATTTGTAATAATATACAATCGGTGTGTTGGGGAGATAATTTTGTTTTCCCTTGCAGCAGTCAATAATGAAAACTCGACAATTGTTTGTATAATTTCTATCGATTTCCGTGTTACCCCGACCACAGCGGGAAAAAAATACGACCAATAGAATTCTGTTCAAAATCGTTTTTCGTTAGCTATGATTTCTGATCACGTACAGATACAAATTGCATTACCTGTATATATATATATGCACACGCGAATTACATCTTCCTTTTCAGCTACACTGCTAAAACAATACCGCGACCGTCAGCGGTATCGGCGGTTTTTTTTTTTTTATTATAGGTTATATTATACACACGTACCTGATAACGCGAAAACAATCTGCGATAATCTGTTGTTGGCTTCGTTGAACATAATTTATTATTATTACGATTCGGTCGATTATATAATATATTCCGAGAGTAATAATGTTATGTACCTAGTTATCTCCGTCCGAAAACATAAAATTCAAAAACTATGTTTCCGTGGACCATTTGGCGGTCTGGCCGACTGGCCACCGGCGATTATCTATGTTTTATCCGAGTCCCCGAGAGAGTCGGCCGTAAATACGCGACTTAAAATATTCAAAACGATTGTACATTATATTATATATTGTGTAATTTAGCCATTATTGTTTTAGTATGCCTAATGTTTTCAAGGTGCGACCTTTATACGTATAGGTATTTATTATTATTATTATTATATTCATTTGGCAGACGAACGATGGTTTTACAGAGTTTCAGATTCTATTGACATCGTGCGTGTGTGGCGTGCTGTCGACGGTGTAACATATGTGTACCTAAATAGGCACGTTTAGGAGAAAAAAACCGCAACCACGCTGTAATCTTGTGTGTTATTAATATTATCGTTTAAATACTCGTCGTCGGTTTTCGTTTTGAGTTTACGGCCGACGATAAATTAAAATATTTCAATAGTAAATCTTATCGTTTAGCCAACACAATATCGTATATTATAATATTTTGGTATAGTAGATGATAGTTGTTTTACAAACGACCCTTTTTTTTTCTTTTTTCTTTTTTTTTTTATTATCATCGACCGGTATGGGTTTTTTTTTTTTTTCATAAACACCTCGCCGCCGCCGCCGCCGTGCCGTGACGGTAATAATGGTATTCTTATTATCGTAACGCGTACTGTACCGTATTATAATGACAATGGTGTAAATAATATTCAAAGAGCGCGACAATTGTTGTAGGCCGCCGCCGCAGTCAATTGGCCACCAGTCACAATACGCAATGCTATAGAAACGGAATAATAATAATAATAATAATTATTATTATTATTATTATTACTGCGGGATATCGAATAAACGAGTGTGCAAATAAGCACGCGTAAAAATCATAAATATTAAAACCGCGAAGAGTTTGGTCGGGTGCTTTTCGCGATTAAAACTGAGACACGATATAATAGTGTGCAGTAACAATAGCTGTAGCCAGTACCATATTCAGAAATATCTGAGGTGAGGGGGGGCACTGCACTTGTAATTTATATTATAACTAGGGCTGGTAATGTAATGCCATAGAAAACTCAAACAAATTCCGTTAAAAAAAAAAAAAAAAAAAACGGTTTTATTTATTTTCCAAATTTTATATGAGGTTGCTTTATTATATCGTATTGAAATCCCAACCTTATTTACCTATAATTATTGCAAGTAATAATAATAATAATGATGAGTACTGCCTTATATCAGGTGAATCAGAGAATGACAAAAATTTTCCCTTGGAAAGGGCCTATCGCTCCTTCTCCCTTATTTGTGCTATCACTTTAAGCTCCCTTCTTAAAAACCATCAATGTATACTGCCACAGACTGTAGCGCTTCCTTGGTTCAAAAACGATTTTCACCGATGTTGTTTTCATGTAATATTCAGCATCAGACGAGACGAGTAAGGCGCTGTCTCAATTAAAAAATGTTCTAAATTACAATCGAGGGCTGCTCCAAGTACTTGATTAGGGGGAGGGCTAAATCATATTTTTCAAAGAAGTGTATAACAAAAATCATATTTTATAGTTTATTTATGCTCCATAGCATAGATAATAGATACTAGAGCTGCTCACGCGTGTATACGAAATTCACGTGTACACATGAAATTAAAAATTTCATGCTAGAGACCGTATAATCCGGAATGTGAAAACGTGAAAAGATAAATACACATGTATATAAAATTTAAAATAATCAAATAAACGTATTTTTAATTTTTCCCTTTTTTGTTTCATATTATATCTAGTAAGTGACGAATAAAATCAACTTTTGACATTTTAAAGTTTCGATTTTATATTTCTACAAGAACTTTTGCTCCGATCAAAAAATGACAAACCACACGACACGGCACTGGTAGGTATATATTTAATATCTATTATACGTGTAGTGACTATAACGGTGTATTGACTAGCTCTATGAAAGAACTTTTGTTCTGCTAAATATTTTTAAGATTTTTTTTTGGTAATTTATAAGGTACTTGAGCCTGACGCAATATTTCTTCTACTTTCCTCCAAGTTATTTCTGACAACTTCGTGTTACAGCTTGTATTTACCTCCCCGACACTTGCAAAACTACGTGAGTCACCATTGCCTAGTATATAGTATTCCAATAATTGAAGTCGATTTATTCTACAAAATTAACATTAGACAGTAAAGTAGATTCGGCAATTCAAAATTCTGCAGGTGACCCGTATCTGATTATTGACATTTTCGAATTGATGAAACTGAACGTATTACGAGGGACGAAGACAAAACAAAATTAAAGAGTATTCAATTTGACCTGAAAAATCACATTGCAGAAAATCGCGCAAACAAGTTTCAACTTTATTACAAAAAAATCGGTCATCTTCTTTTAGGCCATTTTCTTGGGCTGCGTACAATCTATAGGTCAAAAGCCAAAGTTTAAAATGCTGAAGGCTTTAAAAATCATTTAGGTACCTATTATAATTTAGAAAACACTAAACATTAATTAATATTATTTAAAATGTTAATATAATAATAAACTAAATAATATATTAAAATCAACATTTTCGTTGTGCAAGGTTTAAACCTTACTCGACGGATATTTCGCTAGCAGTCTGCACACCTAACGATAGTATTTTTTTTTTACTAAAATTATAATTTGCTCGACATATGTCGATATTGTTTTGTTAGAACAAGCTATAATAGTAATTTAATTTTCAATAGATTTTTTTTTCTCCGGCGATTATCAATGATTGACAATAAGTATTTTTTTTTTTTCATTTTCATATTTAACGCCTGTGTACGTTTTAACTTCGAAATAATATTTACAATTTGAAATTTCTCGAATACATACTGTTTCGACAAACTTGAAAAAAAAATTCCAAACGGTATTAAACAAATAGAAATTAGTCATAGTGTTGAGGGAGGCTCATAACACTACACCGTGTAGTGTCATGTCGTGTTTTTAATGATCCCGTACATTCGTTTTCTATGCTTAAACCAAAATTCAATACCACCGATACCAATGTCCTTATCAGTTATATAATCATTTGTACTTGATGATAAAATAACGAAATACCGTATGGTTTACCTGAATTGAACCACGTGGTTCGGCCAATCAGATAAAGTTATTTTACACCCACGGTGTAGTCTGAACTCCCCGTAGGTTTCAAAAAATAGAAAAAAAAAATACCACGACGACCACTAATAATTCGTCGGGAATTATAATAATAATACCTGTGAGAAAGAATAAATCTGGCCAATCGATTTGTCGTAGTCCCGCGGGTCGCTGATGGTACTGAACGCATAACCTATTGCGGAGATTATGTAACCGTGCGGAATTATTCAATATAATATGATAATAAAAATAATACACACCTACCTACCGATTGTCCTCACGTGTTTAATGTTTACACGTATACACGTATATAAGCTCCTCAAAGAGGTATATAATAGAATAAAAATCATTTTGCCGATGCGTATTGTGAAACGGCTGTGATATGATACTGGCGACCGACAACAAAGACGTGTCCCCGAGACTCGAAGATATACGCGTTCCCAATTGTTAATGCGCGTTGTTATTACAATAATAAAATCAGGGACAACGATAAACACATTATATTGGCGAGGAAAAAAAAATAAACGCACAATGTATAGGTATTTTAGTCTTGTTCAAATTACTGTATTCGGAATACGTTTTTGAGTGCGTGTAAATTATTTTCGGATACTTACATTTAAAAATAATTCAACATAAAACATACACCATGGGCACGCGTTAAAAATACTTTACAATTACGTCTTATTTCTCCCTATGCATTTGACAGCCTCGAAATATTTCTAAAATCAATTACAAAACCAAACACTTACACTTATTTACGGATATTAAATTGGCATAAATTTAAGAACGGCAAATGTTGCATATTAGCATACTATTTAATAACTGATGATATTAGCAAATTAACTTATTAGATTGACTTAAGATAGATGAATTACATTATTATATTAAGTTATTGAGTCACGAAATCTCATTACAAATTCTTAAAACCATTATAAAATATTATTTTAGAAAGAATTACAATTTGAAATATTAATATGGATATTTTATATTATGAAATATAAACATGATACAAAAAGTATTTTTTAGGTTCCTACTCAAAAAACATCTGTCAAAAAGTATTTATAAAGTATTTAAGATACCAACAAATTATTTAAATAAGTACTTAACAAGACTGAGGTAATTTTAGATTCTAAATATATCAGTGAAGAATTTATCTGTCAATTTTACTATGATGCGTGTGATTTGTCTAGTTTAAAAAAAAAATTCTCCGATTTGTACAAATCATGTCTCAAAAGATTCGAATTTTTCGTCCGGTGATATTTTATTTGAAACTAATGTCTAGATTTTCGACAGGTTTTTTTTATTAAGTTTTAACAACTGACAACAAATGTTGATACTTTGGTTTTATTTTTGTTGATATCTGGGTCACCACAAAAATAATACGATTAAGAATACTTTGCTCAGAATTGTTTTTTCATAACTTTCAGTTTACAAATTCAAAAATCCTATTTATTCTTTACCTTTCAAACTTTTCACCTACTATACAGTGGCTTACCCATAATGTAGAGTACACCCGTGGATTTTGAATTTGTATTGTTGGATCAACAGAGAGTAAATTTGAACTAATACATAGTTCATCTGAAAAAAGGGACATATTTCGCAAAAACAGACTTCTACAATTCAAGTGTGAACACTCCGTGTATGGAAAACTTCATTTAAAAAAAGGGCTACTAAATGTTGTTTCATCGTGACTGTATGTTTGACATTTCAAATGTCTGCGTTTCCAAACCTTGATTCGTTGTCAGTAATTTTGTATGTTATTTACAAAACAAGTGGTACGGATTAATGACTTCTCGAATGTATTGTATCAACAAGAAGAGATTTGCAGCTTGTGGGTTGGGTTGCAGCTTACAGAAAAAGCCGCACGACCAAAGACAATACGAGGAAAATAAAATAACAGAACAAAACAACGTTACCTACGCGTAAAAATCGCGAATCAAATTAAGATGTAAATAAATTATGTTACAGATATATAATAATTTATGATTATAACGTAAAATGTCACGGTTTTGGCCTCCACGGAGTCATCAACGCGCTCCATAAATCTTGGACGATTTTCCTTGTACCGGAAAAAAACTCGACGGTCGACGTAATGATATTATGTTATATTGTAACGGCTAGTGTGCAGAAAACAGTTTTAATTCGTCAATGAAACGAGATACGAGTATTTCGTCGCACCCACTAACTATGCAGCGATTTTACAATACAACAAAGACGCGAGTACGTGACAAATAGGTACACGGCCAGTTTCTATTGACGGTTTATATTATTTTATGAATAATAATAATAATAATAATAATAATAATTGTTGAGAGTTTTTGCTTTCAATATACATATGTATGTGTATATATTATACATAAACACTTCCGTTTTCGAATACAACGTACAAACAATATTTTCTAGTAAAACGGTTTTTGTCAAATTTTCCCCGAAATAATACGCTGATATTACACTGTAGTATTTTATTTTAGAATTACCCGCTACTAACTAGGTGGATTAGACCTTACGATTTACCATACGATTTTTATGCAAATATTTAAACCTAGACATTTATTATGTAGACAAATTGTCTACTTCATAAGAAAAATGTATATGATGCATCTTGTATTGGATTTCGAGCGCCTTTGAGTTACCAAAATATATTTTATCTACGTAAAACAAAAACGAAATTAAAAAAAAAAAAAAAAACTTCAATAAATTTAAATGGTTATAAATTACTCAAAAAACGATGGAATTTTATGAAAATTTGACCATCTCCAGAAAGTGTTAAATTTACAATTAATTTTTGGTAAAAATTTCAAGTTAAGTATTATTTCTAACTGAATAGTGAACATTACAACTAAATCGATAATAACACAACCGATGTGGTGTAAATATTCCGGTTTTTCGACGATTTTTCCCTGTCAACTAAAAAAATGACGAAGAAAATCAAAAAATGACCTCCTCGACTATTTATTTTTGATTTTATCTGAAACTGTATTTTTTAAAGTTGATGGTTCAGGGCAAAGTATTTGGTACAGTAAAGGGCACATCATAGTAAAACCAATTTACATTCCTCGCCACGCTAAGAATCTAAAATAAACAATGGTAAATAATAATTAACTCTAAAACAAATGTTAACAATGGGCGAAAATAATAAAATTGAAACCCGCACACACAGTATATACCAATTTTATCACTGTTATCACTTTTATCACTTTTATCTATTTAATAGTTTCTTACTTAAGATTTAACTGTCGGAACAAACAAATAAATCACGGCAAAACAAACTAGCGCGGTCGTATACGAAATTACAACAATGTTTTTACAACCGTTTTAAAGAAGATAAAATTTTTCGTTTTGTCATAATATATTCGTGTTAGCTTCCTAACAGACTTTACGACGGAACGTAAAAACATACATAATTGTTTATATTGAAAACCGTTTGGTCAACTTGGTCTTCGGATGCACTCGTTACAGGTACTGCGCGAAAATTCATATTTGTATTCCGTTTTTTTTTTTTTTAAACGATATTTCGATTTCCGAAAGTCGTATTAGTTACATATTCATTTTAGACTGCAGAAATGTGATTTTTCTCGGAAAATCTTTTTTGGTTAGAAAAAATGCTAAAATTCCGAGTATGGTACTATTACTATGTCTAAAACATATTTAATCGAAATTTATACAGTTCGACTATTCTTATAAAGTCCTTTTTTCGAAATTATTTTTGTCAATTGACGGGGTTACAAATCGAAAAAAACACAACTACTCCGTTCACAATCGTTTTTCGTTCGCGACGATTTATCACCGTACATTATATCCTACCTTCTAAAATTACTCATCTGGAAAACAACACAGACCTATCTACGGTGCGCACTGCGAAATATGTCGCACGTTTTTATTTTAGAATCGTGAGTTAAAATGTCCGGTTTATATAACATACGTGTACTGTAGATACACAATAATATTACAATATTACGTTCGGTGTTTCGTCGAAAATCCGACGGGCCGATTGAGTATCGGTACCGCGATAATTATCGTAAACGCATAAACAAAGCCGACACAAAGTCAAATTAAATTACGTTCGTGAAAAACTAATTGGACGTATTTGTTATACGAGTGTTATGTGTCACGCGGCCTCCCGCAACGTATCGCGCTCATCGGTATTTGATGTAGAGTTTTTTACTCTCGCGTGTTCGAATCGGAAGTTAAAACAAAAAAAATAATGGTTTTTCGTGTTTAGTTTTTTTTTTTTTTTTTTTCAATTTCAAAAGACCTATGATCGACCCGGCCGATAATTTATTGTACAGATATTTATTAAAACTACTATTAACGTTATTCACATATTTTGGCGGCCTGAGGCGTTATTGTATTCCTTTAGCGCTCTTTCGTAAGAACAATATTTCTGTTACGATACACTGGAATTTTAAGGTATACGCTTTCAATGTTTTACTGCACGCTACTTAAAGCCCTGCTGAGTGAACGTAAAATGTGGGATGAGGTTAATAGAAAAAAAAAAAAAAACACTATTTTACCATATTTTAATAGAAATTAGACGATTATCTTTCGAACTAGGGAGGCGATTTTTTTTTTCGCAACAATATTAAATTGTAATTTTTTCCTAAAATCTTTGAGTATTTACCTATGGCTTAGGAATCATTCACATGTATACAAATTAATAATAGACAAACTTAACTTAGGTATTTATTATTATCTTTTAATATGTACAAATATATTATTATCTATTAGACAAAACAAAAAAATCACACAAAAATTGAAATATTATTCTACGCGTAAAAGTATGTCAAGGTATAATATATAAATATTATCGATCAATTTTTTTTTTTTTATTTAATTTCCAAAATAAATTTCATTTTTCATTATTGAACACAAATACGAGTCACGATATTATTTTAACGTTAATTTTTAACCAAAAAATTAATATATGTATATATATTTATTATTAAAAAATTAATAAAAAATATATTGTAAAATACCTATAGTTTTATTATTCTATATAGGTGCCACGCGTTAAGATAGTATGGGACTGAGAATGTCCAACGAACTATGATAATTTGTTGTCGATGTGACCGTTTAAGTGACTCTCCAACCAGCTAACGTGCGTATAAAACCTGGTAAAACGACACTAGCACTTCAAGTGTTAGAACTTAAATCTTTAAATTTTACTTCAAAAAGCGATTGAAAATATACATTAACAATATATAATAAATATTTTAAACTCTACCGTGAAAAATAAAAAGTAATTTTGTATAACGCGGCGAAACTAATATGGCATAAATACACTAGAAGCCCTAGTAAAAAAATGCGCAGAACGGTGATAAGAGCAGAATCATTTTAGCAATCACTTTTTCATAACTCATTAAGCGTCTATAGTTTATACTATCTTAATATAGGTGATACCATTGAATAGGTGCCGTTAAAAAGATTAAAAAAAAAAACGGCAATTGAACGTATTTTTAAATTAAAAAAAATAATAATAATACAATTATAATTCAAGTAGTGAAATCTTTATTTCAAGAATTTTTAAAACTGCGCACGATTAGATCGGAGAGTCGAGATAGGCACAACATGAAAAACGGTTTACATATCTTTACAAATTAGCTCGACAAAAGGTCGAAGAATTTTTATTTTAAAAGTTTCATGTTTTTTTGATATCATAATTTACTATATACATGTCTATTGTCTACAGCCTACAATAGTTACAACAGAGTTACTCAACTAGTACAAACGACTCGGACAGTCGATATAGAGAAAAATAAAACTAGAGGCAATTAAACATGTGGTGTTATCGAACGAATATTAAGATTAAAATGGATAGAAATAACAACACTAACGAAGTAACGAAGAAGTACTGAACGGAATGAAGAAAAACAGTGTCGTGATTATGGAATTATTTTATTAATTATTCTACCAATTATCCATTTATTGTCTTTGAGTATTGCACTATTATATTTGTGATAAAATTACTTTTCTAACCTCTATCCCTCCCCCCCTGAAAATAAGTATTAATTTATAAGTTCGTAACAACCTTTTAAACAATTTTAAAAAAAAAATTATCCTCTCCGAAAGTTAATCCAATTACGCCACTGTGAAAAAAAAGAACTTTGATGTAAATATATAAAAGTAAGAAAAGACAAAATTATAGGACATCTACGCAGCTTCACGGTATAGCTTAACTAAATGCATAAGATAGAAAGCGACGTAGGTCATATCAAAAGTGAACGATTAAGGATAGAGGACCAAATGAAACAGATCATAATAGACACGTATAAATATGAATACAATAAGGAGTTTAAGGAATTAAGTTGCATTAAAAATGCACGGAAAACTACAGCATACCGATAAAAAAAACGATTGAAAACAAGACGAAGACACTAAAATATTAAAATTTAAAAGTTGAAATTGTGACGTGTGCGAAATTCTAAGGTATAAAAACTGCATATTTTTTTTTTATTTTTTTTTTAACCTAACCTAACCTTTTAAACGCACATTACAATAAGTCTTAATTGAGATTAAAAAAACAAAAACAAATCGCATTATATTAAGGCCGTTGTTACAACCCCGCGGAATCTAACATGTTAACTACACTTGCATGCCAAGGTTTTTGGTGGTCGGGTTCACGGAATTTCCGAAGTCTCTTGGACCTTTGCCTCTTCCGTCACCACCGTCGGTGAATCCGTCACCACCGTCGGTAAATCCGTCGCCACCGTCGGTAAATCCGTCACCACCGTCGGTAATTGCGTCGTCGTCTCCGTCATAGCTATCGACGAAACCGCAGCACGAGGAGCGGCCGCTCGTTTACCGACGAGTCTGAGTTGGATTTCAGCCAGAGATTTGTTTTTGGTTTCCGGGACGATGACCATTGCGAACACGGCGCCCATCAAACAGAACGCGCTGAACGTCAGAAAACAACCGGAAGAACCGAGCCAATGGGTCAGCTCGTTGGACACGTACGTCACTACGAACACTAACGTCCAGTTGGTGCATGTGGTCAGACTCGTACCGATCGGTTTCACCTGAAATCCCGGAGAAACAAATGTCAACAATATTCATATGGACATTAATAATTTAACATTATATAGGTATACTAGTTTTTATTTGGCATCGTTTGGCGACAGTTGTTCTATATACCGCGGGTATGTTAAAAAATGGACTGCGCATATGGGAGAAAACATTTAACCGATATCGAGTGAGGGATATGTGTATACTATTTGGTGGCATTCGTGTGAGAAATTGTTCAATATTTGTATTTGCGCCGTGAAATTATTATTATTATTCATAATAATTTCATCGATGATTGTTCCGAACTATCGCCATCTTTCTCACTCGATATTGTACGCGTTAGAAGAGGGGTAGGGGTCTGGTTCATTTATTATCGTATGCCTACGCGGTGAGTGGTTATTGACTTTTTCGTTTTACAATAAAAAGTGCTTTTTTTTTTCTGTCTGTAAACAATTTTTCGAAAAGAAATCTTGCCCCGATGTACATGATGATTCACTAAGTGTGTTCATCCCATTTGTTTGGTTAAACTTTGCACTAAGATTTTTCGCAATATTCAAGTACTATACTGTGGCAAATGGCGATACCAACTTTGGTTTTTCAAACAAGAAAATTTCCGTAAATAGACAGTGTATTACGTTAAATAAATTTTGGTGTTAAAATTTTTGATTTCTGTCAACCCGTTAACGAGTTATTCCGCTTTTAAAATTTGGTAAGGGAAGAGTAAAGGAGTATTATCTGTGAGACATTTTATTAGTGTTCCGCTAATAACCAAACCTAATCTCCTGCCTAAACTTATAAGTGGAATATCTCGTGAACGAGTTAACGGAAATTATCATTGTGTACCTATGTAAATATTCTAAAATTAAAAAATATCGTCTCGGCGTACGAAACGGTTAATCTAAAAATATTTCTCAGAAGAAAAAAAACAACTTCGTTAAGTATAATATAATATAATAATAATATTGGTAAATTGTTTTCCGATTAAAATCACTTTCGAAATATTAATACGAATTATGAGATACCCCTCCAGTGATGCAGCCAATACATCCGTTACTTGTGGCCCAGAATGGTAACCTTGGCCTAAAAATATCTATTTAAAAATGTTTTCTATAATTGTTGCCGCACGTATTAATTCGTAATATTTTACGACTTGACATGTTCCTTTAGCAAAAATTAATCGCGCACATAGGTTAGGTAAACACTTTGGAGAAATCGAAAACTAGTTAAATTGAATTTGGGAAAAAATTATAACAAGCGTCATGAAATTTGAAACGTGCGTGAGAATAATAATAGCATTTTGCGACCGTTCAAAAAAAATGTTATCAAATTAAAGTAATCAAACCTTTAAAAAGCAATACAAGTTTTACGTGGATTTTTTTTTTTACGAAAAGTGAGTTTTATTTGAATTTCCTGAAGAAATTGTTGAGAACTAATTGTAGAGAATTAGTGTTGTACAATGAAACATTTATTGCAACAGGCTAAATTGTATAATAATCGTTTTTTTTCATTTTCAGAGTCCGATACACGCGCATTTACCGTATCGTTAAAACGCTAGCTAAACTAGCCAACATGGCGAAATTGCGTTACTTAAAGCATTAATTGTGTTTAGGTTTCAAATGGAGAGTTTAAACAAAAATAACGAAAAATATAAACAGAAGAATATGTTTGAGTGCGTTGAGTAGGGTTTTTTTTTCAAAAAATTGTCATACAGAAATATTACACGTGCATCACAAACTTAAATCGCTGTAACATTGTTTAATGGAAATATTTTTTAGAAAAAGGCTTTATTTTTATTAGATTTCGTCGTTTCGTTAGTATCTACATTGTCGAGTTATTTTTTTTTTTTTTACAAACAAGTCGAAATAAATTTTATTATTATTATTATAATTTTGTTTTTTGGCGAAATAACCGATACTTACCTCCGACGAGAATATCTCGCCCATCAACACCCAAGGGACGGGGCCGGAGCCGATGGAGAATGCAGAAATGTAGACGGCAATACAGAGCAACGGTAGCCAGTAGAGATCCTTGGCCAGTGTTGAATTATATTTTTTTATCAAGTAAAAGCCACCCAATCCCGCATAACAGACCGCCATCAGCAGGGACGAGATCACTAATAAGAGTTTTCGGCCGCTTTTGTCTATTATGGACAAAGACACCATTGTCATGATTAACTAGGACAAACAAAAAAATGACAAATGCATTATAAGTGAATATGGTTGCGAAGTGTTTAAACACCTGTTTAACAGTTAATATAACTTTTTCAAAAAAAGTAACATTTTTTTCAACTGTTATTTTGTTCTTAAGTAATAATAATAAAATGCTATTTATAGTCATCTCTTATTACAATATTGACAAGAAAAAAAGAAAAAAAGACCTACTTAATACACACACAATTTTTCACAATTAAAAACACTTTTAAAAAAAAAAAATGCCTTTCTTTATTAATCTGTATTTCGGCAACCCTGATTTGTACGTTGTTTCTAAATAAAACCGAATATACTGATTTGCGTTATTATTGTCTACAATTGCAATAAAAACCTTATTATACCAAACAAATATTCACAAAATAATTATTTTCCCAACACCTTACATATTCGGTATGTGGCGTTTTAACTGTTGGGATTTAAACCGTCGGAATTTCAACTTGGTCGGGATCTCAATCTGGTCGGGATATTGACCCGGACCCATACTCTTGAATAGGAGTGCGATATTAGGTTTTCGCCGTTTGGTATAATATACAACTCAAAATGTATCAATTTTGAGACATGACCACTTTTGAATAGTAAAAAATCAGCAATTTACGATGGAAGAACGCTTCATTCCACCGCTAAAATTATGTGTCAGTATAGAGTTATTTAATTTTTAGCTAATTTTCAAAGCAACGGAGTCATATTTTACTTTATGATTTTTAAGTTCTATTTAGTTATCCGAATTCAAAATTCAAGACTGCCTTATTTTGATTTGTGACTTTTTTTTTGCCACATAAAAAATAATTTTCTGGTAATGATATCCCCAATATGTTCAGTGCAATACTGTCATATTTTGGAATATGGTTATCTTAAAATTAACGCAATACAGCCACATCTCAAAATAAACTTTGCTTTTTCTCAAAACTAGACATTTCGAGTTGTGGCAGTTTATTTATTTATGCATTTGACGTTCAATAAAACGAATTAACCATTTTAACAATTTTGTTTTTACCTTATTATTTTTATTATAAACTAATATTAACAGTATATGAGATGAAAATAAAACATACGGTACAACTATCAAACTAAAGGTGTAACCATCTCCTACACAAATGAGGAGTGACCGATTCCCCAGTGGGGCGTCATAAAGACAACAAGCCATATTGTCGAGGAGCGCTGTAGAACAAGATGTGAAGGTGGAATAGGAGCACTGCATAATTGTGTACTAACGGCGGTCAAACGGCTAGAAGAACTTGATGTTCGACTCTAACATAATATCCTATCCTATTAATATTTTTTAGTTGTGGCAGTCTTGTTCTAGGGGCGCGATCCTATCGCGTTATATTTTAATATTAATACGAGTGTTACGACGACGCGTTATTATTGATTTACCTGCACGATACCGACGGTTATGGTACAAGCGTTCGGACTGATGTTACTACCGGTCGATTCGAATATGTCGGTCATGTAGAATATCACTACGTTTATGCCGCTCATTTGTTGGAAAAACATGCATCCGATACTGATCAACAATGCTTTGCGGTTGGTCTTGTCAGAGAGCACTTCCGAAATAGTGTAACTTTGAGCCTTTTGTTGTTCGATGAAATCCTAAAAAAAAAAAAAAAACAAAATAAAAAAAACCCATATAATCAAGTGTTTTAAACGTATCTGTTGGTTGTGTAGTGCGGATGGTTCCGGAGCATCGCACCTAGCAAACACGATTAATCGATAGTATCGATACTCGATTATATTAATATCACCGACTTTATCAATAACCGTTATCTCGCTGTCATTTCACTATACTATTTTTTTTTTAATTATCGTTAATATCGATTCATTTGATATATTCGAAACTATACCCAGACAGCAAAATCGTTATGATTGATATTTTAGAAATATTTTACCGATCTTAAAACTGAAATATTTTATAATTTTTATTATTATTACATTTTAATAGTGTTCTAATGATTATATCGAATGTATAATATTGTTGTAAAATTTCAGCTATACTAGAAATGTAATATTTTTGCTTTAACGTTGTGAAACTGTTCTAGAAATATTTAAATCAGAATTTAAAATAATATTTTTATCGATAAATTACATATTACATTATAGTAATGTTTTAGTCCAATTGGTTTCAAAACATTATAACTTCGACTTAATAAGAACATTTTGAAAATATACATACACAAATTGGAATTAAAAATAACATTGCTGTTTATATATTTCAAAAATGTTTAGTTTTAAAACATTAAATTAAAATATTTAATGACACATTAATATTGATAATGCCGGTTCGCCGGTGGTATAGATTATTTTAAAACAATCGACTAACGAATATTAAGAATGTCTATCGCACTGACATACTACCGCACCGACTAACTTTGAATATTTATCTGACAACATATTCCCGCTATCAGAATCTATCCATACGTTACGGACAGTCCTACAAAAATCCGACACACGTGAAAAATATATTTTAGAATATTTACTTTGATGGCGGCTAGTTCTTCGGTCGTATCGGACGAGCCCCGGAGTGTCTGCAGAGAGGCGGCCGCCCGCTCGGGATGGTTTTTGCCCATCAGGTAGTACGGCGACTCGGGTATGCACAGGGCGCCGAGCAAGTGCAACAGCACCCAAACGGCGCACAGCAGACAAAACGGCACGTACTTCAGGAACGCGCCGAACGTGTACGAAAACAGTATACCGGCGACAATGAGAAATTGAAACACCGTACCCAGACGACCTGCGGCGACGTATTGTTTTACATTAGCCAAGAGTAATACGGTGTTCGGGACCGCGGTCGTAAAGGACCCCCGCACACGAACGTTCAAGATTGTCGGTTTTTTTTTTTTTTTTGATTGACGGCAAGTCCCGATTATAAGGGGTCTGGGGGAGACCAAAGCCCCAGGAAAAACATCTCAAGGGACCTGAGTTTTTGCCAATACTGTTTTAAATAACTTTTTGTTGGTGATCTTTAACGGAAACTACTAGATCTCTATACTAAGTATTATTTTTATTTTGTTAAAACATATTTAGCAATAATAGTAATGAATTTTGCAATTTTTTTTTTTTATTATTACTGTTTTTGAGGGTCTTTTAAAAATGTTGGCTCTTGGGCTTCTAAATGTCTTATTCCAAGCTTAATTGACAGTTTCGTGCATGTCGTGTTTAACATCCATGATCGACCGCGAATTCGTAGAACAACAATTGATTCTTCAATTCAGATTATTCAGAAACAAACGCTGTCAAAAATATTACTATACGTGGTCGATCGAAATTGCCAATCGTTATGATTGACAAAAGTTTTTAAAATCCATCACTATTAGAAAATATTGAAACTTATCAATGTGTATAATACATAAGCAATCATGATTCACGACTAACAATCACATAAACAGACGATCTTGAATTATCGTGCGTCCCTTAGAAGATAGAGGCATTTGCTATTTCATTTGTATTATTTAACATTATTTCCTCTTTTTTCAGAGTACCTAAAACCGAACTTTATCGGGCGTATGTTATACAGAAAGTCCCGTTGGTTACACACGGTTACACTCATTATCTCGGAAAGTATGAACTTTTTCGGATTTTTGTATAGAAAATTTAAGAAACAGGCAGCTCAACAATATTGCATTCATGTTATTTTTGGTCACCCTTAATTCGAGGGGTAAAACTACTATCTACTTTTGGTTTTCAAATGGTAACCTATATTAGAAAATAAATAAATATATGGGATATTATTTAAAATAAATTTTAGTGTTGACATTTTTAGTCAGTCCGTTGACGAAATATTCTACTTTTGAGTTCGTCCAAAAATAAAAATAACATAAATGTAAAACTATTGAGCAGCTTGTTTCTTAAATGTTCTATGAAACAAATTCCGAAAAAAGTTAATGCTTTCCGAGATTATGAGTGTACCCACTTAAATGGAACACTCCGTATGTCAAATATCGAAAATGTACAGGGTTTTTTTTTAAAGATTTACAATTATTTTTTTTTACGGTTTTTGTTTTTAAATTAATAACATTTGTTTAAGTTTTTTTTTAATCGATGATAATTATGATTTTTCAACGCTTTAAATATCGGATAAAACACGTATATATGTACACCAAAACTATACGTGTAAGCGACCGTATTTAATAGCGCAATGGTGTCTCGACTACGGTCTTAAACGATAATTTTAAGTTAGGTTAGATTAGTTTAGGTTTCGGTCTGGTACCTCTCATCTGGGGTTCGGCTATTTCGCCCACGTACGACGGTATGATGGCGCACAGGGCGCCCGCGCCTATGCCCTGCAGCACCCGGCCAACGGACAGCATCCAGACGGACGTGGGATACACCAATATGATCCAGCCGACGAGCAGAAACCCCTCGAACAGCATCATGCTGGTCCGGCGACCAAACAGCCCGGACACGTAGCCGGCCGGCAGGGCACCCAGCGCGGCGCCGATGCCGAACACCGAACTGAACGTCTGAGTGTCCTTGTCGGTCACCGGAAACGATACTTGGTTCTCGGACTCCAACATGACCTGGGCCGGCGATGACCATCCGAGTATCGTGCCGTTGGCGACCGCTCCCAGTGTAGCTGCAACCGCCAGGAACAGTGTTATTATTATCGTTATCAATTTGCGTATTTTGGGCGATGCAGTTTTTGGTAAACGATATTATTTTGCCGCATTGTTCACTGTTTCCGCCACACGGTTGCAATATTGCCAAAACGTTTCGTTTATTGCGGAGCAATAGACAACCAGTAAACGAAAACGGCTGTAAACTTAATTTTCGATCGTTTACTAATTCCAGCAACCCGGTTGTCGAAAAACGCGTTCAGTTATCGTCAAATAATATAACCGAGACAGTTTGTTCGCGAAATTTGCAACCGGGTTACTCAAAACTGAATCACCGAAACACGCCTAGCATATATCGCAATTAGTAAAGATAGATATTTTAGTGAACGTCGCGGTCGCATACAAGCTGTCAAGACTCTCAATATTTTTTTTTTTTTCCGGGGATGTCACTGGAAATTATTGTGCAAGTTGCCGCCACAATAATATTATGAACTCCTCGTTAAACATCTCATCGAACACTAAAATGAGGTCAATAATGGTGTTTTGGTCTAGACGTACGCAATAGTTTTTTCAGTTTCAATTGTAAATCGGTTAACACTAATCGTAAAGATAGAGATCCGAAATTTTCACAAACCACTTAAATTAGCATTTTTTAGACGCTATTAACCTAAGTTGACATTTTTGAGTTTTTTTTAGTTTTATTTGATTTGATTTTATATGGACATAATTGTATTTTGGTCTAACCAAAACTTTTAAAAAATTAACAAGAAGTTCATCATAAGTCTTATACGTATAAGTCAGTGGTAAAACGAAACAAAAGTTAAACGTAATTTAATAAAATGATTTATGGTAAAATTTGTACCAAAATCGTAAAATCACGAAATTTTAAAGCATGTTTAACCGAATTTCGCTTAGAATCGTATTCTTACCGATAATTAATCGTCGCGTACAGATTTAAATTAAATTTTTCTCTACATAATCTACTTTTTTAACTAGATTTTTTTTATATAATGGAATTAATGATACGAAATTTATAAGTTGTTATATGTATCCCACTAGTGCCGTTTATTTATTTCTTCCTAGCATCATTATTCTTAAAAGAATTATGGAAAGTGGTTACATATCAAAGAGTAATACACTAAAATTTTGAAATATTATTTTGACAACGTTTAGTTTGATGGTTCACCATCAAACTAAATGATTCGAAAATGACGAAACGATTTCAATATTGTTTTTGATTAAATTAAAATGCATTAGTTTAATAAAAGCCGTTTAATAGTAGGTCCATTATACAATTGTGTATAGTGTTTTGATTCGTAGTAGTTCGTCTCTGACGTAGTTTATTTACCTTCAAATGATAACACCATATAACCACTGATTATGACAGTTAAATGCTTTAGAAAAAAAGCCAAGGTCAATAAATAATATCAAATACTCAGTACAATTCTTAATCGGTGTTTATTGGTGTCAGTCAAAAAAAAAATTACGTGGGAAGAGGTAGGAAATAATATTAAGCAATTTAATTTGTATACTGTATGCAACGATAAATCATTGCAAACAAGAAACAATTTAAGCTCGTTTAAACATTATGTAAACCGATGTTTTAACAATGGTTTTTTTTTCGATTTTCCTCGATTTAAATTATTAAAAAAAGTAAAATCCGAAAATTACCCCCTCCCCAAAATACACCAACAGAACAATATTTTCTACCAGAAGACATTCCAAAACTTGATAATTAAGACAATATTTGTGGTCGAAAAATTGTTTACGTTCATCAAAAAAAAATCTGAAATACCGTTAACCTTCAAAAAACGCCTAGAATAAAACGAACGTAGGCAATCCGAATATAGTTCGCCAGGTCGCATACTAACGTACCCCACTTGAAACGAGGGGTTATCAATGAAATCGTGTTTATAGATATAATACATTTGTGATAACTAATCAAAGAGCCGATCACGGAATTCCATTCGGACAGTCTGCAGCTTGTGTCAAGTAGGGGACTTAATACGCCACCACGCCGGTAAACCGGAGGTCGCCGTTCAGACATAACCGGGCAACCAAACACGCATCAGACCGTTGCTAAAAATAGAAATACGATATTCTATTCAGAAAAGCGATGTAATATCGTTACAAAACGAACGAAATATTCTAATATAATTATTAAATATTAATGTTTCACACACGGAAACAATTTATATTATTACGGGGGCGTATTTAGTCATTCTCTACAGGGGAGGCGACGAATTGGCAACTCAGCTTTGTTTCTCTACCACTTGCCAAATATACCATAAAATGTATGTGTAGTGAAATAATACCCTTAAAAAAAACGACAAAAAAAATGTTAAACAATTCTCCAAAAACGATAAAACGAAATGCAAAATGAAAGTTTCACTAATATAGTTGTTATATACGTATTTTATCACCAGCGATGATCACAAAAACTGTTTATAATGATAAAATAAAGACGTTATAGAAATCATAAATAGAACGATTGATTATCCAGATTAATAAAGAATACCTATAAAACATAATATTAAAGTGCTTCCACTTCATACATCGGAGCAATATTTCTAGTATAAATTTTATACACGGTTTAAAAAAAAATAATCATCATTGTAAACCAATACATTCCTCGCTACACTCAGAATATAAAAATAATTACATTTATTATAAATAATTAATCAATAATAATATAAAGAAATGTTTGCCTGTCTGAAAATTAACATGCGGAAGCGGATAAATGGGTCTACGTACATTTCCAAAATGCAATCACTAATGAATGGTTAACGTGGATTTTTTAATAATTTCGGAACGAAAATCTAATTATTATTGTCAACTTATGGGGTTATTGATAACACTGATGTCACATAATAATAGTGGAACACACAGCTTAAATAAAAAGCGAGACAAGGATGATATGGAGAAATATATTAAATTAAATTTATTTTATTGATTTTTTAAAAAAAAAAGTATTAAACATTGTCTTTTAATATGGTCGAAAAATAATGATAATTTTATTGGTTCAAGTGACGTCAGATGGCCAACTTACTAACCCTATCCGATTTCAACCCAAACCGAAACGTAACCGAATTGGTTATAGGAGTTTTAGGAGGTTTCAGGAATTTTAACTATTTCAATCTATTTTACGGTTCAAACCTAAAACTGCTCCAAGAAAGTTATAGCGCCCTAAGTGTAAACCAAAAATCTAGTCGACGGAAAACCTCGACGAGTTGCGTACTTAGATACCACTTGGGCTGAACTCAAATAATATGGTCCGTAAATACACAGCCGAGCTCGACAACTAGTAATCGATAAATTCAAATACAATAAATCACTATTTTTTTATTTCGATGAATGAACAGTCGTAAAGATTAATAAATTAAAGAATATTCCTATGTGAATGCAATAACTTGTGTGTAGTAGATTACAAATCACTAGCAGATAAAATGTATAAATCGAAAACGCAAACATTACTTTGAATTGTATTTTTTTTTCTGCGTAAAATTTCCATTTGAGTAATTTATTGTGTTTATATCAACGTTAACTATTAATATTTGTCTACCTTTTTTTTTTTTTTTGTTTTTGAATACAATTTATCGTCATTGCGTCATTGACATTACTTTTATTATCAAGACTGTAAGGTTATAGAGCGACTCATTTCTTTTTTTCCATTTGATTGATATATGCTGCAAACGATAATAGGATAAAAAAAATTAACGAACGAATAAGTAAAAATATTAAAATATTAATTTTATAATCTACGTTTATTAGGAAATATATAACTATATTTTAAAAACATATCAGATGTACGTCCGTATTAACGATGTTTATTGAAAATGAACATCGCCAGAGTGTCAAAAAAAACAATTTAATCAGATACGTGCTTATATAAGCAAAACGGGGCAAGTACCCAAGGGCACAAGATAGAAAAGAAATTTAATTTATATCTGCACACAAAGATTATTCATCAGAAACGAAAAACAATTCTGAGCAAAGTTCGGTTATTCATGTTTTTGAAATGCAGTAAAATGTACGATTTTAAAAAAATAAATTTCGTACATTTTCCAGATTTCCAAGTTTTTCCCATTTATTATGAAAATCTCTGAGAAAATCAAAAAATTACCTTTAAGTACTTACCTCTAATTGGCTCCTCTAAGTATTTCCCCAGTCAGATTTCCTTTCAGAAAAAATTCTATCATTGTAAATCGGAGCAAAATTACTGGTAGAAAAATTGTTTACTGGGAAAAAAAGCTCGTAATATTCCTTAACTAATAACTACATTTCGTACATTTTCTCATTTTTCCTCGGTTTTTTTCCATTTACTGGGAAAACTTTTGGAAAATCAAAAAATGATCCCCTTAAAGTCCCACCCAAGAAAAATTCCATTTCAGAAAACTATATATGATACTTTGGAGCAGAATTCTTCATGACACTTCTGATAGAATTTTTGTACAAAGTGTAAACAAATTAATAAAATTAAAGAAGTAATTAGAAAGTTAAAAGAAAATTAAAAGAAATAAACAGCATTGTATAACCAATACAATACATTATTCGCTACATTCAGAATCTAGAAATAAATACATACCATTGTAAAACCGATACACTCCTCGTGCTGCTCAGAATCTAAAACATGTTCATTATCATAACGAGAATATTACAAAATATTGTTCTGTTATTCATATAAAAGAGAATAATTTTGAACAATATTTCTTACCAAATATTCGCGTAGTACATAATGTAACAAAGACAATTCTGCCCGGTGGATAATGTAGTCGAAGTTGCATATAAACAAAATATATCCAAGGTAAACAAGAAATTTTTTCAGCTACACTGTAAGATATATCGAACCGTCTTTGTTCCAAGAATAAATATTACGTATTATATGAATTAAAATATTTTTCATCTGAAAATAGGTACCTATAAAGATAAAAATATGAGAATCTTGATAAAACACGGTGGTATAGGACAAAAATTATTTTAATTTTAAATGTCAATATAACCTCACCTTTCAAAAGACCAAAAAGAAGGTTATACTGCTCACAGATAGGCCACTGATATTATGAAGCCACTGATGGGTGGCTGAGAAGATAAAATATACAGGTGGTAACTTAGTTTATATACTGAATGCAACTTTAAGTCATGGAAAACGAAAAAAACGATTCTAGATATAGTAATATGTGTCATGTTTTAGACTCTGAGCGTGGCAAAGAAACTATTAGTTTTACCAAATGTTTTTTTTTCTGTCTATGAAGAAATTTTCTACCAGAAAACTTTCTAAAGTGTAGCACTTTTTCTGGATGAAAATTTTCTATAGTTGTTGCAATCGGAGGCCATTTTTTGATTTTTTTAAATGGTTTACAAAATAATTGGAAAAAACCAGAGGAGAAATTACCAGGTGATTCATTTAAGTGGGTACACTCATTATCTCGGAAAGTAAAAAATTTTTCTAGAATATGTTTTCTAGAACATTTAAGAAGCAAGTTGTTCAACAATTTTATATTTATGTAATTTTTAGAGGTAAAACCACTACCTACTATTGATTTTCAATTAGCAACAGAAATCAAAAATGTCAACACTGACATTTATTTTAACTGATACTCCGTCTATTTATGGATATTTTAATATAGGTTGCTATTTGAAAATTAAAAGTAGGTAGTGGTTTTACCCCCAAAAATTAGGGTGACAAAATATAACATAAATATAAAATTGTAGAGCAGCTTGCTTCTAAAATGTTCTAGAAAACAAAATCTATAAAAAGTTAATGCTTTCCGAGATAATGAGTGTACCCACTTTAATGAATCACCCGATATAAGTAAAATGCCAAAGGTTAGGTTAGGTTAACAGGTAAATGCATTAGTTTTTTTTTTTTCATAGGCGTTTTAAGATCAAATTTTGTCGAAAATCATATAAATTATTGCATTTCAAAATATTTCTTGCCAAATTTTGGTCCGAATCGTTTTTCTTTAGCAATAGATTATCGTTGCGTACCTACAGATATAAATTTAATATTTTTTTGTATCCTACCTTTCCAACATCTCGCCTATAACCCGTCCCCATTATCGGCTCATTTTTTTCCTTTTATCCATAGGTAACTTAGGTAACATAGGTAACTCAGAAACTACGTTTTTCCTCAATTTTTAAGAAAATTTAGGCAAATCATAAAATGACGTTTCTAATGATTTCGAAATTTAATTTTATAAAAGATACTACACATGATTAGCGTAAGATTTCTGGTTGAAAATCTGGAACAAAAAATAAACCGCATCATAGAAAAACCAACACATTCCTCTCCATATTCAAAATTTAAAAACAGTATACCCACAATAACGATTTTCAGTTCGAGCAAATCGGTTGCTATTAAAACGATGAATTCACGTAATTTATTATATTAACAAAAACTACTTTATTTCGAAGGTCATCGTGGTAAAAGTGACGTGTGTATAGGTGCCTAATTGAGGAAGTTACCCATATGAAATTCTTTACTAAAAAAAAAAAACATATCTACAGAATAATTTTTAGGTTAGGTATTCCCGAAAAACCCGTAGACAGAAAAAGACTGGTAAAAATGATAAACAATTTCAATTTTCAACATTGGACATTTTTTTCCCAAAACAATATTATTTTGTGGACTAAATTTACGAACATTAGTACAATGAGTTTGTAGTATAATAAATTAATAATAGTATAATAAATTAATAACCAATAAAAATATATTATCTACTGATTTTGTTCATACTAGAAGTAGCTAATAAAATTATTGGACTTAACAAAAAAAAAGAAATGATTGCTGGAGCCAAGTGGCGTGTAACCTAGGGTTCAAGTGTTCAAGACTTTCTTAAGAGGCACCAATTAGATTAAAAATTTAAAAAAAAAAAAAAGTCTTCTGTCGTTTTTCCATTGTAGCAATATTTATAATAAAAACTTTAAGCCGTAAAAATATAAAATCGTTAATAATGAAATCGTTGTGCCGTTATTTGGAAAAAAAAATCGTATTATTTGTCTTTTTTGATTTTTTCTAATTATAATAAAAATAATTTCCATATCTATAAAAGACTTTCTTTTTCAGTGACTATATGTTATTAGGAACAAATTAGAAATTAGAAAGTTGCAAATATTACAAACAATGAAATCGGTAACATCGTAGCGCGCCGTAAATATTTTCCGTTTCATCTATAATTGTCTTTCGAGTTTTCCAAATTATTTCGAAAACCCTTTAGAAAGTCAATAAATCACCTCTTAATACACCAACTAGAGGAAATTTTCTTCCAGAAAAAGTGCTACACTTGATACTTCGGAGAAAGTTTTCTGGTAGAAAAGTTGCCCACAGACAAAAAAAAATATAAAAAGCATACATCATAGTAAAACGAATATATCCCTCGCTACGCTCCTAATCAAAAAATATATTTTACACGCCACTGAACTGTGACAATACTGTAATAGTTATAAGTTCAGATTTGCATGAAAGCACCCAAATCGAAATAATTTGCAAGCGTAACGTTAAACGTTACAATAACTCACTACTTCTTACATCATTTCAAAAGGTCAGAGAATATGAAAACTATGCCCGGAGATTCGTAGAAATTCGTAATTATCACTGAATGAAAAAATTATAGTACGTGGAAGTCTTTTAATCCATAAAATTATACTCATAATATATGACATATCGTTCTGTGTAATGACGTCAAAGATGTTCTAATCAGATTACGAATTTCCGTCACATCATTCATTCTACATTTATTATAATATAATAAACTGTTCTGCAATTGTATTGTATTTTAGGGAGGTCAAGGAACGAGATTTTATTTAAAACGATTGGTACATGCTCATTTTCGTATACGGCGAACTGGTTTTTTTTTTTTTTTTACTAATTTCGTCACGATAATCGTTTAGGATTTTCAAACGTGATCGATTAGACCGTTACAGTATACAAAATATCACGATCACATCATATTTATCTTGAAAATCAAAACGAAACATTCATAAATCAAACAAAATTTTGTATACGTATACATGAGATCCTATCTAGAAATAACGGCCGTTTCGGTGCCAAACAGTAAACGCACTCAAACACTGTTCGTTCACTCAAATGTAGTCAAATTCATGAAACAAATAAACTGTACGTGCGTTGTTAGAAAAGTAATTATTGTTATTTGACGAAGGTACACGCATCGACTGTGTTTATGGAAATATAGCCAAGTCCCGGCTCTAAACAGAAAACCAGAAAAAACAAAAATAAAACGCCTGACACTGCTGACGGGTGTGCCACTGTTATAGGCGGAAAGTTGGGGAGGTAAACGAATATAAATATAGAGTAATTTAATTTATACATGTGTGCAAAGATAAATCGTGGCGAACCTACCTAAGGAAAAACAATTCTGAACGAAGTTAAACGTGTTTTAAAATGCCATGATTTTTACGGTTTTCATAAAAATTTGAACTTTCAACGTTTACAAAAAAATTAAAATCACTATGTCGTTAAAATGCGCTCGAGTTAATCACTAAACTACATCAAATTACGAACTATGAGGAAAATCAAAAAAATTACCTCATCAATACGCTGATTAGACAAAATCTGCTTTCGGAAACCGGAAAAAGATTTCTATAAGAAAAGTTATTAACAAACAGAAAAAAAAACCATAGTAAAACCCGGAGCATATTTTAGGAGGGCGACCACTCCTATTACACCAGCTGTATCTGTATTTATGTAACTATTATTAGTATTTTATTATATCGATTTTATAACGGTATGATATAAATATATAATGAAAAAAAGAAGTTTAAAATTATATCGTCATATTTTTTAACGTGAAAAACCAAAAATAAAAATTGTTTTAACGGTTAATTTAAAAAAAATTTCAAGTTCTCAGAATACCATGGTTGAAAATTAATTACTTTATATCAATCGTTGAAAACGAACTTAATGATAAGCATATGTTAAGATCAACCACAAAAGAACATAATATTATATCAATATCAACCACGGTCTTGTATGTATTAAAAAAATGTTTTTAATTATTTTTAAATAGTAATGTATTAATATGATGTTTTAATAAATATGAAAACCTGATAATAAACGACACTTTTATAGTGGTATTTCATTGTGATGCGTTATTAAACGTACAAATTTGATTATAAAATATAATTGATCAAAAAAAAACATAAATTATAATTTTTCGATTACTTTTATAATTCAGTAGTACTTCGGATATGAATTTGATTTTAATTTGATAAAATTAATAACTGTAAAGATACAAAAAAAAAAAAGCATCGAAGATTTGAATTCTCAAATCCTCCCCCTCTATCATACGCACGAGTTTGCCGAAAAATCATCAATTATGGTTATCTTCAGGCAAGTGGTAAAGAAACAAAACTGATCCACGAATTCCTCCACCCCCTTAAAAGGATGACTAAATACGCCATCTGCAAAATTAATTTATTCTCGCTGCACTCAGAATATAAAAACAAATTTTATCCAAGTACAGTTTTTAAATTTGACTAATTCTGTGTGTACTCACCGATTACCGTAATGATAATTTGAGCATTGATTGTACCTCCGGATAAATTATATATTAACGTAATCTGTAAACAAAAACGTGTAAAACAACAACATAAAACGCAAATATTTTAATATAATAATTTGTTTAAACGAAAAATAAAATATGATAGTACATTGCGAATTTCTAAATCGGTATATTTTTATTAAGTATTACATATAGTTTACCATTCAAATTAAAAAAAAATTTGAATAATTCTTTGGTCCAATAGAAGAATGGCTTAAGACAATTTTTGACATTTTTTTTTTTTATATATAGTTTTGTCATAATGCAATTTGTTCACTTTATATTTGTTACTCTAAACGGCATAAGTGGATTATATATTCTAACACATGTTTTAATGAAAATTAAAATATCATTTCAGTGTACTTCTTGTATGGTAAGAGAAACATTGAGGTTAGGTCATTTAATAGTTTATAACCATTTAGAAATGATGCCATTATGTCATTTATAGTAATTTAAAAAATATAATTTACTAGTAAGCAATGAAAACTATGAAAAATTGATTTAAGCCCTTCTCTTCTCCGGGACCAAAGGTTATTGACTTACTAGTTTCGATTTTTTAATATGTGCAGACGCCGACACGTTAGCCTGGATCACCATTTTTTTAACGGACCCGCGGACGACAACGAACAATAAATATCAATAAAACGATTATAAATTAAATATGTAAATCCGCACGTAAACTACTTAGTTTAACATCCACTACGCGCGCTACAGCTGAAAATGCATAAAAATGTAAAAATAAAACGTATTATTTTTTAAACGTAACATCGATACTTCGAATTTTTATCCGGCGTTCGCTGATACTTAAGGGGGCTGATCTCGATACCTACTATAATGTGTTCGCCGCGCAGATGAATTTTCACTCGTCGGTTTATGTGTTTTACCATCTCACGAGACGACAACACATGCTGTCGACGTACATACGGTGCGTATCCCCTCTATTTCGTTATTAATTTTTTTTTTATTTTTTCAGAGAGATATATATTCCTTGTATTAGCGTTGTTTTTTTTTTTCGCTCCGCGTTCAATGAATACTATCTTAATTTACAACGACGATGATGATGGTTCCGTATGCCAAATTTTTTACATAATGTGCCTAAAATATACATATTAGGCGTATCATTTTATTATTATTATAATTATTATTAGCGACGCGACTAAACGCGTAAGCAAATACGAATTATTTAACGTAATATTGTTTTTACGCGGTACAGGCGATGTGTAGTAATGTTATTCCAAAAACAAAATTTCATAAGTACCATTTCAATTTTATTACTTATTACACGATTCTATAGTTTCCTCGAGTGTAACGAAAAAATGTCTACATAACTACGTAGTTTTACTACGATATGTGCTTTGTTTTCCCTTTTTTTTCTCGCTGGAAAACACTTTTATCGATTACATAGTAAAACCGATTCAAATTGTTCACGCGACGTCAGTACCCTCAAACGATCTTTATGCTATACCTGTGTCAGTTATTCTTTTGTCAAGTTATTTAAAAATAAAAGTTTTTTGTATGTATTGGAGTACTAGGGAAATAATCGTGTAAATGGCATTGAGGAAAATAGTTCTTTGGCGGGAAAAAAGGGATTGGGAAAACAATCTCCCTGCCCAGAATTTTCACCCGATTGTATTTTATTTGAAACAAATTTCTATAGATTCCCAACGATTTTACATAAAAACGACAACAAATGTCGATACCTTCATCGGTTTTATTTTTGTAGATTTCTAGATTACATTTGGTTACAATGGAGTGAGGAGGGTTACACACTAATACCACAAAACTTACAAGTTTATCGACCTTCACTCAAATCCGTTTTTTTCAATTTCAACGATTAATCGTTGCTTTCGGTATGATTGAACTAAACTACCAAACCTCTTCCAAATTTCACATATTGTGCAAAGTATATTCGGCTTTATTTATATTAGAGAATTCGTATTATTTCAATTTGTTCTTTATTTTATTTTTTTTTAGAAAATCAATTGCATTATATTATACGACGAAGGTTATTTTTCGTTATATACGTGACTTGAACCGTTATCGCTCTACAGCTAATCCACGAACAGAAATAAACTAATAAAAATAACGTAAGTTTGAGTGAATAAATCGATTATCTACCTTTTCTCAAAATGCATTTAACTCCAACTTAACACGGTCCAAGTATAGTTCTTCCATCATCAAATGCGTTTTTAATATTTTTTAACATAGACATATAATTAAAATGTTTAGGTATTATCGTTTTAGATACCTACCACTTATATAAATACGCTACGCTATTATTAACAAGCTTTTAAAAACAAAATTAGCATAAGATGCTTAGATGCTCATGCCATATCTACTTAATAGAACATTTTTAAATTTTCTTTGTAGTTTTGTATACAATTTATATTTTATCTGTTTGTCTGTCTGCTATAAAAATCTACAATTTTATTCCGATCTTGCATATTTGATATTCAAAACAAGAGGTACATCATTATTTATTTATCGCAAAATTTAACCCTAAAAGGTAACCGAAAGTGTCTTATAGTATTTTTGGAACCACAATTTAATTTTTTTTTATTATCTATAGATTTAAACAATTTATTTGATTGTCACTAACAAGGAAATGCTATTTTTTAAAAGTAAATAACCGGGCAACAACGATTAATATTAATTAAGATAAGATTGAAAACCAATGGCGTACCTAGGCCTGTCTTACGTGGGGGGCGAAATTTATTTTCACCCACTCTTAAAATAAAAAATTCCTCAAAAAATAATGTCACAGCTACAACAATTTTATTAATAAACACGGCAATTAGGCTCTTTTATATTTGTAAAATGAATTTGTATTTAATTAAATATAATATTGAATGCATGTTATACATTTATAACACAAAGTCTAATCTCTGGCTTTTCATAGAATAGAATAATGATATCATTTTAATGATATCATCAACTGATATACTAATGTTCTGGTAAATATGCAACAGTGCAAGTCCACGCATAAGCGATCCTGGCACTTTTATTTTGTAACTAGAAATCAATGATAAAAGACTACAGTCAAACCGCCAAAACAAAATGACAACACTAGAAACTTTAACCCGGTTCGACCATAGATAACAAAAATATTTTAATGTATATAGATTTGACCGTATTATCATATTATTAATTACTTCTACATAAAAAAAAAAAAACGATTCAAGTTTTAAAACACTGAAAACAGTAAAAACGAATAACAATGCTCACATATAAATATACGGTCTACAAGAAAGGCGAGTTCCACCCCCCCCCCCTCTTCCATAGGTACTCCACTGGTGAGAACAGGGAGACAAGTTAAAATTAATTCCTTTTATTGATTTCTATTTTTGATATAATCAAACGCGGAAAATCGGGCAATTCGGCTAAAAATAAGTAACGAAAATTTAAAAACAACTTTATTTAATGGTTCATAATTAATTTTAGTGAAGTTTACAGTCACTAATTTAGAGAACTTTAAAATTTAAAATCCATATTTTAATATTCAATACTATTTAATATTTTACTATTCACATACTCATCCGTACAATATAATATACACCTAAGGTTAGGTTAATGTGTATTATATGATATCAATATCCACATTGGAAACAGTTATTTAGGTATTGTGAAATTAATTAACAAAAAGGAATCATTTATGAAAGAAATAACAAAAAAAATATCATTAAACGGTTAATTATTGAAAAATTCAATAATAATGAAGTAGAAAATTAATTTTTAATATTAGTTTAGCTATAGAGCCGATAAAAAAAAAAATGCTTGATTTTTTTTGTCCCGTTTTAAATTGTATATAAATAAGATTTATTAATGCCTTAGTAAAATGAATCAAATCGTTTGAAAAATTACAAAAACTTATTATAAAATATTATATAATTTTAATAAAGTTATAATGCATATTATATAATTTAATTTGATTGTTATAAACAACGATGAACGTAATTTTGATTAACATTTTTGAAGTATAAGTTAGGATTAGGTATATCCTTAGGTAATTTATTAGGATTTATAAACGTATAAAATAGACGGTAGTGTACAATATTAATTTTAAATAAAAGAAAAAAAAAAAGGTATAACCATTGTTTACAACACCAAAATATTTTGTACTCGAATAAACATTAATATTAATGAGCGATTGTAGTTTTGATAAACGAAACTATTAAAAAAAACCGAAATTATCACGGTCTCGGGTCATCGGGTTGAAGTTTCACAAGTTGTTCGCAAATTTCCCAATATTTCTTTGCGTTGACTTCGTCCAAAACGTCACTCCTCAGAATCGCTTCCTATAAGAGTAATAACGTTCACATAATACGATATTTTTATATTTAATCGTGATCGATATTCGAAACGAATAACGTCACGTCAATTATCATAGTGTACTATTATATTCCGATCCATGTTCAAGACAAATATACTGTAGATTACACAGTATCGAATTTTATTCAACATTAATGGGTCCGAACGCAGAATATCCGTTCGAAAACAGTCGTGTAAAATATCGACTTTAGGCATCGATTGGGAAGTTACGGATTGTAGTCAAAATACGGAAAGTAAAATATCGAATTTATTTACTAAGTAAAGTCTAGAAAAATGTAAATAAACATCGATAAAAAAATATTATTTACTTTGCAGTCTTTAAAATATTTCCCAGTCACTCCAGTCACGTCTTCGCTGACGGATAAGTAAATTGAAGTCTGCGCGCCTTGTTCGGTAGTCTGAAAATACATCATTATGGCGTGTTTAATTATAACAATTATTTACGTTTCTGTTATGCATAAATGCATTGAAAATATAAATATTGTAATTATGAAATAAATAACAAATAATCAATTATAATCGGAACATTACAGCGATGCTAATCACTTAATTGAAACGTCAAGCCCAGAAAACAAAAGTGTTCAACATTTTATTTATGCAGTAGGATGCGTACAGGGGGGGGGAGGAGACAGTCACGGGTGCATCTTTTTCCCTATTGGCTTAAAAATACCACAACTATGAGAGATATTCGTCTCAATCCCTTAAGTCCACTTTAAACCCCATCATTGTTCATTGAATTTTCAAACCAACTTGAAGAACAAAAACTGATTACCAACTGTTTTATTAATAATTATTATTTCATTATTGAAGGAAAGGGCGTTGGTTTAATAAAAATGTACGTAAATAATGAGGGGGAAATTAAATGTTTTTTATTAATTATATAGGAATGAATATAAATAAATAATTTAAAATTTTGATAGTACAAAATATTTGTTAAATTTACCTTATGAATTATAATACTAAATCAGAGAACAGAATCAAGTTTACGAGTCTTTTTAGCCAGTTTTTAAAGGCTTTTTAACTATATTTTGGTGACTTGGTAGTCGGTAAAATGTAGTGGTTAGACCTGGTATCATTCGAGGTTACAATTAAAATCAAATAAAACTGGTCTACATAACTGATAAAAAAAAAAATTTGTTTCGAAAATTGCAACCGTAATGTCATTTGATATGCGATCAAGAAATAAGAATAAAGAAAATAGAACTACAGTTATGTAAAATCAATAAACATTTATGATAGTCAATGGGGAGATTTAACCCTTAAATCAAAGCCCCCCCTTGAGCACTCCCATGACTATACCAATTTAGAACTTGTCTTACCGTCAATTCGGATTCAACGCAAAAATACTATTTAAAGTACAAATATATGTATATGGTAAATAATTTAATGTACTACTTCGAGAATATATTTAAACCGTTGAAAAATAAAATTTCTCGATTCACATTAACACGATAGCGTCTATTTATACATTGTTTGGTATTCCAAGAAAATAAAGAAAATATGTCGTGCAGTTTTGTATGACCGTTATAATAATAACAGTTATATAAGTATAATAAAAAATAATGGGAAAAAATGGAGAAAAAAAAATAGTTTTACGATGCTACGATGTCGTGTCGGTGCGTTATTGAAATTTCACACGCATTTGCATAAAATACGTATATGACCGACGGTTTTTAACGTGGACTTGAAAAATTAATATTTAGCATAATATTTTCTATTCAATAACGCGTAAAACACTGACAAACCGTATAATATTAGTTACGAAAACTATATATAATAATAATTATCTGCATTAACCGTAATATTTTTGTTTTAGATTCTGAGTGGAGCAAAGAAGCTTATGGTTTTACAAAAATGTTTATTTTTTTTTATCTGTGCGCAACTTTTCTTCCAAAAGACTTGCTCGGATTTCTACGTATAGCACCTTTTCTGAAAGGAAATCGGCGTGGTGAGGTACTTTAGGGAGGTCGATGTTTTCTCGAGAGTTTTCTCGTGAAATACGAAAAACTCAAAAAAAAAACCCGGGAAAATTTACGAAATATAATAAACATAATTTACGATTTTTTTTTTTCTGTAGACCATTTTTCTACCAGCAATTTTGCTCAAACTTTTAGTGATAGCATTGCTTCTAAAAAGAAATTTCACTAGCGAGGTACTTTAGAGAGGTCATTTTTTGATTTTCCCCAAGAGTTTTCTCTGCAAACGTGAAAAACCAGGAAAAACGTAGAAAAGTTGGAAATATCGGTACAACGTTAAATAAATTTTACTAAAGAAAATATATAGAACCTATTTAATTATTTGTTTTATTATAAAACTACATATATATATATAGTTGACAAAGCATCACCATCAACTGAACTCGTAAGCAATGGTTTATCTTTGTTTACAGATATGCATTAAATTCCCGTCTATATCCTACCATCACAACTTCCCACCTACACCAATGACTGCACCCGTCTCCATTATCTTACCATTCTTTTATTTTGTACTGCCAATAACAAATTATAATTATTTTAATGTCAGATACAATAAATTCGGAAGAATCTACATTGTTAACAATATGTTAGTGGGTTTAAGATCGTGAATGACGTACTTTAAACATCGTTTTGGTAATCAACAGCAAACCCCAGTTGAACGGAATCGGCACGTTTCTCCATATGCCGGAATCGATCATGCCGGGGTGGAGGCAATTACAGGTGATTCCTAAACATTAAAAAAAAAAAATTCATTATTATTTTCTACTAATTGTACGCCCGTCGTACTCGTACACGACGAGTTGTATAGGTCATTGAAATATTTAAAATTACTAGTTCCAAATCCGAAATCCTGCAAATCTTTACGGTGAAAACTTTTTTACATACGAAATTACCGAAACCAAACGTTTAAACCGAAGTTTTTTTACGTTTTTAACATAGAAACAATTATTATTGCGTACGAAATCCACGCCGAATTATAGACTGAAATATGAACGATTAAACGAGCCAATGATTTATTATACGTCAATCGCGGGGCCGGATTAACATAGGTGCAAAAGATGCTCCAGGTCAGTAAATTGATAACAGCGGCAATGGTACAAACATTTGATGTTCAAATACCTATTTAATACACTTTTTTCTCAGTATTTGATCGAGTAACTATATTTAGTAAATATTGTAACACTGAGATTGTTTGAACTGAAGTTTTTTTAGTAGGTAGGCATTTAATTGTATAATAAAAAAGGTATCACACTTTTATTAAATTGTTCCGTGTATTAATGAAATATATATATACTTTTAATGATGCCTTGATTATAAACACAAAAAATATATTGCTCCAGGGCGACTCTAATCTTAAATCCGGCCCTGGTCAATCGCACTCATCTGATAAAAGTTGATTGCAACGACCAATTCCACTTTTGGTGTGCATTTAAAATTTAGAAAACTGGGATTATCATTTGACACAAGTTGTAATGCAATCGTAATTATCAAAAAAAAAAAAAATCAATTATAATTATGTGAGATATGGGGTACATTTACAATTTTTTGGTTAAGAGGTTTTGTCATACCCATGTGTGTTATCTTCGTATTAGTAACGCACGGCGTAGTAAAATTACGTTACTTAAATAATAAATTGTAGCGTTTCAATTAAAATGGGAATTTAATCAATAAACAACACAATTTTTAGAATTAAAGTTATTTAAAAAATGCAAAAACTAACAAGGCTGTGATTTTTTTATGACAATTTCGTTAGAAAAAACCTATAAGCACAACAATTTAAAATATTCTTCTCTTTACATTTTGTTGCTTGTGTTTAACCTTCAATTTTAACCTTAACGCCAAAATTTGCGTTCAAAGTATACGAGAATAAGTGTTACAGACCGACAATCGGCTCTTTTATATAAAAGATACGAACGATTTAACGCATGAGAAAAAAAATCACCTGAATTGCTTTCTTTCAGTTTACGTGCTAATTCCATTGAAAACATTATATTGGCGTATTTTGAGACGTAGTACAAGTAGGCGGGAAGTTGATTAGTCGGATTTGGCTTGGTCAAATTCAATTTACCCAATTTGTATAGATCGGACGCAACAATTACGATCCTGCTGGAGGCGGTCTTCTTCAACAAAGCTAAAACAAAACGAATATGGCAAACTGTTATGGTATTATAATAATAATAATAATAAAGCAACTGCGGTATTAAAATTAAAATGTGATTTTTTCAATCATACTATAATAATAATAAAAAATATTAACATTATGTTGGCTCACGTAAAAGTAAGTGTGTTAACAAAAATGGACCGTATTGATTGGTGGCCATGGTCATTTCTAAACCGTCTTCGGTAATTTTTTTCCCAAATGTATTAGCCACGCCGGCATTGTTTACCAGTACGTCCAATCGAGATTCTTGTTTGTTCACTTTGGCGGCAAACTGACGCACCGAATTCAAACTGCTCAAGTCCAATGTCATAAGTTCCACGTTCGAGTTTCCGGTCTCGTTAATGATCTCGTCTGTGTTTAAAAAAAAAAAACATATTATATATTACATAGGTATATTCAAGTATCCATAATAAAGTGTATCGCGTTATTGTCATTTTATATCCGGAAAGATACGAGGGATATATTGATTATACCATGATGCGTGTTCTTTTTCTTTTTTTTTTTCTGTCTGTAAACAACTTTTCGAAAAGAATACTTGTTCTGACCAAAAAATAAAAAGAGACCTTTTCTATTACATACTGAATTTCATTGTCATTTTTTAAGTAGTTTTTATAATAATTGGGAAAATCCGGAAGGACGGAAAATGACGGTTTTATTATTTTCAATTTTTTTTTTTTTTGTAATTTAATTTAAAATATTTGTAATGCCTTGCAATTCTTACAGTAACCTAATATTTGCTTTCTCTGGTCATGATAAATTTTGAGTTTTGTACGCAATCTTATATTTGATAGGTAAACTATGAAAACAATTGTTTGACTAAACAGAAATGCTTGAAAATGTAACAGGAAGTTTATTATAATCCGTACTTATTAAATTTTACAATTCAAAAATGAAATGAGTGTTATGTAGTAATTTTTTTTTTTATATATAAGTGTTTTGAGATCAAATTTTGATGAAAACTGTAAATATTATTACTCCCTTTCAAATCATGTATAAACTTCGCTAGTAAGTAAAATACTCATTTATATACAATAATACACATGGGTGTATGAATACAATTGAATTGTTCATCTGTCTGTTTGTCCACACTATTCTTGGAATGATTAAGCCGATTCCAATAGTATTTTCAGGCATAGTTACTTAGACTACAGATATTTTTTATACCGGAATCCAACTCCCTGATAGTCGTAGATGACACCTGATTTTTGGTCTTATAATCCGAAAATTTAACAGTCATTAGTGATATTACTTATTTAATTTGTTTGTCACGGGTACACGGAAGTTCTTTTTTTAAAAGACATTAAATTTTATACCGAGAGAATCTGGCCTGGGCGTTATTAACTCTACAAGGCGACCGCTGAAATTAGTAATGAATTATCGTTTTAATTTACTGTACACTGACAAGGGCATCCGAGAACGCTTGTAAAACAATACATTATGACAATATTTATCTGTAATACAATAATGTATGCAGTAAATAATAGCGTATAAATATTTTTTGCTAACTTTATTCGTTGAAACTTTTCACGTGTAGTGTGTATAGCAAAAAAATATTATCTGCGTGCTACGATAATAACATAAAGATTATTGCAAATATAACCGAAAAATTAACGAGCAAGCCTTCAAAAAAATTTTGAAAATCTGTATTATAGTTTTCTATATTATATGGCATTTCGTGACAGAATTACCTAAACTAACAATTTTTAAACTGTTGCATGTTTTAAAAAATTTACAGAAAAAAATAAAATCTATATACTGCGGAGACAAACAATCTAAAACACATCAAATACACCTACTTACAAATATTAACATGGAGGAACTAACTCGAATCCCCTTAAGAAGTAAGAGAATTTCCATTGAACGAAAATAAATACAATTTCTTTACTTTACCTCTCGCACTCTTATCAATGCTAATCGATACACAAAAGACGATTGGGCAATTCAAACCGATATTTACCTTTAGCTTTAGTTCCCGTTTCCATATTTCTACAGGCCATAATCACTTTTGCGCCACGCTTGGCTAAATCTTTGGCCGTTTCTTTTCCGATCCCTATAAAAGAAAAAAAAACCAGACATTGTTGTAAAATATATATAGACACCTTAGTATACCTATGTGTTTGTGTGTATATTTAAACTCAAAGTCAAAATTCAAATTGTATAAACAATATTATATTGTTACCTGAGTTGCATCCTGTGACGATTACGGTTTTGCCTTTCATGCTTCTGGTTCCGCGGTATACACCCGTAGTCATCCAAGTGTACAGTTTAACAGTGACTAAAAACACGGTTGCGACCACGACGGTGTAAGACGCGAATGCTACCAGATTGACCGTACGAAGGCAAGAGAGAGTCTCGGAGTACCACATAGTTTCTATTCACGAAAAAAAAAAAACTAATATAAAATATACAGTTGTAAAGTCAAGGTTAAAGTGAATATAATTTATACGTCAACTATGGGTCGAATTCTGAATCTTATGTGATAATGATAGAACCTAAATAGGTAAATTTTCTTTAAACGACCTTGAAACATAGCTATTATTAAAATTCTTGAACATACGATTTTATAATAATTTCGAAGATGAGTATCGACTGTTATGTTCGAAAAACATTTAATCGTATGTTATAAACTACAATTCTAGTGTTTGCCGTAACTTATAATATAGATAAAGGTATTAAATATAGTACCAGGTAAATAACCAAACATTATTTTATGGATATTACTTCCCGAGTACTGTTAATGTTACGGATACTGTCACCGTCAGTGACGTGCCCAGGAATTTTCAACGGAACAGGATTATAACGATTATTAATCATAAGCAAACCGTTTTTTTTACTCGATTCGACAATGGGAATATGACTGAGCGTCGGAGCCAAAAAATCAATTTTTAACCAATAAATAATGCTTTTCTTTGTAATTTGACGGAATTGTGTACATTTCGAGATTAAACTCTCGAATTAATACTCATAGTTGTCGTGTTAAAAAGCCAATGGGATGTGACCCCCCTCCTCCGCCGTCGGTTATCCCTAACATCCCCCTCCCGCTACGTACGCCACTGATATCTCCCCCTCCACACACACACACACACACAAATATTTTGTGGTGCGGTATCTCTGCAATACGAGACTTTGGGTTAGGTTATAGGCCGCGAACAAATATGCAAGTATGTGTCATTTTATTATTTTATGTATGCATATATATATATATAGGTGTAGATATGCCTAATATACATATTGATAAACATGTCGAGTAATAATTTAACCGAGAATTTTTAGAGGAAACGATTTAATAATTTGAATTCGCTGTCTATGTACAATAATGTGTCGATACGACATATTATTCTCTGTCTATACAAAGAACAACAATATTATTACGTTTTACCAGACAGAAATAATATTTCATTTGCATGTAAAACGTGTCGTAGACACCGGAACTGTTGCAGTGTACCGTAGCTACTTACAACCACACATGATAATATTATTATAATAATATACCTATTGCACGCCGCACTACTCGCGTATTTTAATCAATATTTGTAAAAAAAAAAGTATTACCTACTATAACTATAAATAATATAGCACTTGGTACATTTTGGGAAAACATTTTTTTTTATTGCATATAGGTATAATTCATTTTATTTTATCAAACAATTATTTATATAATTATGTACTTATGTAAATTATTAAGCAGATACATTGCGCATAATATTTTAGTACCTATGCGCTTAACCTCGTGGGATTAATAATTCTCAAACGAACTAATTTGAAAATTACACACTACTCAGACCTACGACGATGTATACAAGTATAGTGTACCCGAAAAGGCAATGACTTTAAAAAAAATTACCCAAATTTATGATTAAATTGGTATAATAAAATTTATTATCATTTCATTTCAAATAAATTAGTTTATATTTAATTAAGAATTATATGCATAGCATTTTTTCATGAATATTATTAACATTTGTATATAAATTACAATAATTATTTATTTTTATAGACAAATATTATCACAGTATCCGGTGTAAATAAGTAATTAAACTATATGAATTTTGTTGTCTACCTATATTAGTACAAAAACATTAAAATTCAATTTATCATTAATCGTTAACATTAATATGTGTTTTTCTTCGTTATATTGTCACGATTCTGACATGGCGTTATTAGTAATTACCAATCAAATCGCTATTTTTTCTAATAATAGTATTAAAAATTAACTTGGTAATGTTAACTAGTATTTGAATAATCAGGTAAAATTGGTATAGGCAAAATTACTTTTAGGTAGCAGCGTTATTATAATTATTAATAATATGGTTAATAATTATAATACGTATGAGCATCGACAAAAGAGAAATCATCGAACGGTTTCACCATAATAAAGTGATAATATTTCTCCTCGTATTATTAAAAACCATTGTAAAAGGTCTTGTATTTTGTCCGCGCGCAGACGAAAATAACACCATTATGAATTAAATGAATAAACTGCGCGCGTTACGTGTAGTCGCCTTAGAAACTTAGAAAACTAATTAATATCGATAGTTAAGAGGACGTGTTGTTGTCTCCGTCGTACAAACGTACGACACAGCAAATTTGCGTACTGCAGGGACGACTTGTGCTGTTAGTTGTATTATAAGAGCGGATCGATTTAATTTTAAATTTAAAGGCAAAGACATTGTTTGAGTAACTTCGGAGAGTTTTTTTTTTTTGGATATTTGAGTTTTAACCAATTTACGAGTAAGTGAATTATCACAATTAAAAACACTCATATCTCGCTTACGAATATCGAAAAAAAAACGGTTGCGCTGTTGCACAGATAATGTTCTTATCTTTATGTTTAATAATAGGTTAATTGGCTCCAATGTTAAAACTAACAGCGCGGTGTTGTTCCCGCTGAACGCAAATTTGCTATGCCGTACGTTTGTAAGATGGCGACGGCACATGCGGATATTATCACGTCCTCTTTAACGAAAATGTGTATAATATGTGATCGATTTATCAACATTTATTTACCCAAAACGTTTTACTTAGTAGTGCCTGCGCCCGCAGGTAACATATTATACAAGTACCTACACAAAACGTCATAAACACAAAGCCCGCGCGAACACTACTTGCTGAATGCAATGAAAACTAATAATAAGACTATTATCTACTATCAGTAGATTTCTACTACATATTAGATCGAGTGTAATATTATCAAGCCGAAAGGTAAATACAATTATCCGAAAGAGACGTGAAGCACGACGTTTAAGCCAATAATATGTTGTAACGGGAGAGAGTAGTAAAAATAAAACGAACAAAAGTTAAGTCGGCACGAGGATGAACACGGAAGAAAGCGTGACGTGCACGAGTGGGGAAACGAGATTGCAATTTATTCGAACACGCAGGAAGAGAATGTACCCACAAAAAAAAATCATTTTTGGGGAATATTCGAAGACGGTGATTCATTGTAATATCGTAATCGAGCGGTTTGTAAGACAACTGATATAGTTTTATAAAAAATGTTGAATAAAAAACGATACGGTAATTTTTTTTTTTTAAACAGTCATCAAATTTGTCTCACATTTCACCTGTAACTAATTGCCTATTATGATATTTATTTAACACCTTCATTTGTTTTTATAAAATCTCTGAATATCTTTACAATATTAATGTTTATTATTTTTGTCATTCGATTATACAGAGTTCGGAGTATTTTTTCGGCCCCAAAGAAAATACTGAAATTGGTTCTGTACAGTTTACAATACAGGCAAATTACATTTTAAAAACGCATATACACCAATACGATAATTTCTTAAATATACACACATATGGTACCGAAAAATAAAGGGAACAAATTATACAAGACAAAATAATAAGTAAAACAAAACAAAAGGCCAAACAGTTTACTTAAGCCCTTTTTCCCGGAAACCGGGGATTTTACACACGTGTTCACTAGGTACCAAACTAGTCTTTCATGTTTTTGGTAAAAAGTGATAGTACAAAATATACAGAAATACGCCGACATACCAATGCCAATAATAATACGGTTAGTTCTTATATTATGTTATGTTAATGTGTTAATGTGTATTTTTCGAACAAGTGTAATCGGACGATAAAAATATATTATTTCGCCCGACATCGGATACATTCGAGATTCGAAAAGAGCAATTTCGTGACTGCAATAATATTTTGTTAGTGAATTCAATAAGTAGCTATAGATGTCCTCCGAAAATAATTGTTAGATGTTTTTTTTTTTTTTTTCTACAGAAACTAATCCTCCGTAGGTTTTCGAAGGGCATACGCGTGTATAAATGATATCTTTGAAAAAAAAAAATATTGTGTTTTACTCACTCGCGTGTTATAAACGATCTCGGTTCTTTTGTTGCAGTGGCGACGGTCACACGAATTCTACGCCGCGCAGACACGGTCGGTGAAAGTAGCTCGGGCTCTGGAGGAACTTACCGTGCCGACCACTCTTACATTACTACCTGTATACTCTTACCCATACTGCGACCTGTATTGAAGATAAATTTTACAAAATAACGCACATCGGTTCTACGGTAGTAGGGAGAGCGACAGCGACGACGACGTTAACGTAATGTAACGATAATTATTAACGCGTACATTTTCTTTTTTTTTTTTCGGCAGGTAATTACGAACGCATAGCCACGTGGGTACGGACGATATGATCGTCGGTGATTTCCACGGCGACCGCGAGCGTTATGCACATCTACTTAAACTGCAGCGAGCTGCAAGGCTGAACGGATCCAATGGCACGCTAGACAATGGCACATAGGTGATGGGATATGATGCCGGAAAGTCAGCAGGAAACGTCTCCAATAATCCGAGTAAAAGCCGAACGATAGGAACGATTAACCCGACGATATCGCGTGGAACGCGAATCTAACGACCGCAGGCGCGCGTACGCAATTTAAACCTGCCGATCTGATAAATAGGTATTTGTCCCCTTACGGTTTATACGGTATTCAACGGTTATTTTTTTATTTTTTTTTTTTGTTTCGTCAAAATTGTATCGGTGAACAACTACACATTACACGGCTGTTATGCGTTCGAAAGCAAACGACCTGCAGCTACATACATAAACATGTGAAAGTATTATATCATTTACCTGCGGATTGTATACACGGATCGTATACGTATACAGGGTGGATGGCAGATGGATAGTTATGTGTATTAAACTGCAAAGTCTTGACAACACGGGTAAACGTACACGATTCAAAATGTTCACAATGTAAACGAATTGTAAATACATCATGTTCGTATCATGTGAATTAAACAATGTGATTTTTTTTTTTTTTTACCGCGAACCGGCAATTTTTTCCGAGAATTTTAAGCGAATTAGATTTTTTTAGTTTTTTTTTTTTTTTTTTAATCATTGTGGAATAGGTTGAGCTTCTGTGTTTTTAATCGTTGGCGGTATGGGTTGATCTTTATTTTAAAACCATTTTTAATTGTTTACCCCTTCTCCGCGTGTATTTGTTTATTTATTTCAGCATAATTCAATTATAATAATAATCAATCCCATCACAAAATCGAACGACTTAATAATATGATATACAATAGGTGTAATTGAGTATTATACCTGTAGATAATACATACATTACGTTAATTTTTTTAATAAATTGATATTTTTTTCTCTGTCCAGGTGTATCATTTTTTTTTTATTCTTCTTAACAAAACATAATAATAATTATATATCGCTGGCTGTAGTGATTTTTCTCGTGATACTATTCGTGTGTTTAACCGCGTACGTATGACAACAACAGTATATTACAAATAAACACATAATATTGTATTATTAAAAGTACAGATACTTTATTTGTGATTAGTGTTAGGTAGTGGAGAAGATGGGATACATAAAGTTATTTAATTTATACCTTTTATCAACGATAAACCATTGATAATGAAAAACGATTCAGAGCAAAATTCAGCTATACATGTTATGAAAGGCCGTAATATTTACGATTTTCATCAAAATTTGATTTTAAATCTCTCATAAAAAAAAAAAAAAATACTACACAATATTACATTTTTTTTTTTTTTGTTTTTTTTTTGACCACTAAATTCGACTTTTAATGAACCTCCTATCAAATTTTCAAGTATTTTTGTTAAGTCTAACAATTTATCTACAGAGTACCTACTGAATAAAAATTATGCAAAAAACTTGCAAAATTAAAATGTCTATAATTAGCTTAAAAATTAGTCAAATGTTCTGAAAGATTTACCACGTCTACAAAAAAGTGAAACATAATTATTCTGTCAACATTTTAAATTTCTACGATTACTTTAAACTGAATTATATTAAAGATAAATGCATGCTCGACCCGTAGTATACTCAAAGTGACGGTGTAAATTTTTTGTTGAACAAGTGACGCAAACGATAGGAGTTTCAGGACTCATTTTCAAGTCCACTATCGGCAATCAATTAAATATAATTAATAATAATTATAATATCACATCATACTTTTTACATCAAAATATATAACTATAATATAAGCAATATAACGGTAACTAATAAATTATAAAAGGTGTTTAGTTTATAGAATTCTTAAAATTGTCCTCGCAAAGCAAGGAAGTGCTGTCGCCAGTATTTGAGGAGTTGTGCCAAGGCGGTTTTCTTGAAATTGTTGGTGAAATGCAATTTTAACAACTCAAAAATAATTTCGCTTTTGAATACGTATATTTACATGTAGCCCCGTGCCATTATCGTTATTACGAGTCTATGTTTTTATTGTGTAAAAGTAAAACGAACATAAATGTTCACAAAAAACCGTCTCGTGCGGCCAAAACTATACTAGCCCTATGGACTTAATTAAAAAAAAAACAAATTTTCACCATAAAACAAAGAGTATACTTGCACTATGCAATGTTGGTTTTAGTTTTTCGATATCACTGTTATGAAATAAGCTAACCGAGTCTTGATAACATAAATATCAAAAACTATCGTGAAAAAACATAGCACATGCACTTACATTCACAACACCCTAACTGCTCATCTGTCCAATAAGTCCTCCGCGTCCAATCTCTACCCTCTCGATGCCTCGAACTTCGAAGCCAATCAACGTTTCGTTAATTTCTTCTTATACGGGTCTATAAATTCTCTACAGACGCTCCCGATCTTCTTAGAAAAATATCCGTTACAATTTCTTCGTATCCTGCCCGTAAGATACGTACTTAACCTGATTCCTTTCTCTATCCCCGGTCACACCATCTCTTATGCCCATTACCAACCCCTTTACCGCGTGTTCAGAATATATACCGCCCGATTAATTATTTTTTAATTTATATAAAGTTCACAACTGCACTGTTAGATTTGAAGATTTTAAAAATATTTAAACTTGTTTCTTAATTGTTTTCTACCTCTTGTAACTGCCGCTCGGCGTAAACATTCTAGAAATAAAAATAAATAAAGCCATTAGATTTTCACACGAGAACACGATGTTTTTTTTATATTTATAATATTGATTGAAAAGAATCAACTAAAGCAAGTTATCGTTTTTACCTATGGTGAAAATCGTATTTCTCAATTAAGTCCATAGCCGCGAAGTAATTTTTTACTTTTTCCCAAGAGTAAAACAATTTTTACGGTTGAAGTACGGATAACAGCACGCTATCTTAATCGATTAACAATAATAATAGGTATTTGCGTTATTTATGATGTTTCACTATTTTTGCAGGTACATCGTCAGGGTTAAAAAGTTTGTTTTGGAAAACAGTTCAATACACATTATAATTACAAACTACGAAATAATACAATCAATTCGATCGGTTTCCGTTACAATCTAATCGAACACGATGCGATCAATATAAACTGTCCGTGTTCGTCCTCGACTGTAACAAAAATACCAGCCATGTCAAACTTGCGCCCAATGCCTTGAAAAAAAAAACGTAAATAAACAGATAAGTCGGCGAGTGTATTTCGGTACGAAATGCCTATATACTCTGTTAAATAATGTGGTCGATTATTTTTGTTCGTAACTGAATTGATAATATCTTAATATAATATCTTACCGAAGTGACAAGGTGTGAGTTCACGGTAAAAAGACCGTAAACAGTGAACTCCATCGTTGCGCTGGATATTTGGTTCAAGAATACGCGCAACTGTGAAAAATAAAAAAACGACGAAAAAAACGTGGCGTATACGCACACCTACATAACGCGATCGATCCTCGATAAGACACTCGTTGTCTCGGAAATCGTGTGCTTTTTTCGGAATCCTTTTCTCGAACCGCTTGGGAAACGGGTAGCTCTAGAATGCAGTTCTAGCCCTACATACCCGTTTGTTTGTTCGCACTTACTTTTGGCGGCGTAACCATCACTATACCCAGTTTTTATTTTCAAATAGCGACCATTATTGAAAATCCCGTAAACAGATCACTTTTTAGTTGATGGTGATTACACTATCCGTATAGATGGCAAAATATTACGGCGATGTAATATTGTAGAGCCACTCGTTTTACATAACTTGTCCGAAAAAAAAAAAAAATTCAATACTTTCCGATATAATGAGTGTCTCGTCAAGAATTGATTACGGCTTACTTTTTTGCCACACCGTAAAATCATAACCTACCTCGTCTTTTGTGCTCACGTCAAAAAAAATTCTGCTAATATTTGTCACTATTTCTTTCGATTTGAGTGCCTATAAAAAACGAATAGAAATGTTAAAAATCGTTTATGTCGGGATGTGAATGCAAATTAAAGAACTGAAAAAACGCATAAAATTATTTTTTTTTTTTTTCAACGCTTTTCATCATATTTCGACGGACACGAATGCGGAATGCATTTCAGCGCGTGAATGTACGTCTTTTTAATTGAAATCATTCGAACATAGTGATACAACCGACAGACTGAAACTATCGACACACAACACAAGAATAATTTGAAAACTATGGTGGACGAGCATCGAGAAAAACGTGTCGTTTCGTGATCTTTTTCCGCGATGAAAAAAAAAAAAAAAAAACCGAACGGCAATGAACGAATCGGTGTTGAATATTGGTACGCGTATAATAATAACATTAACGGGTAACGCGAACACGTTTGACGACGGATTCGGAATTAAAACGAAAGACTGCCCAGCCCCCAACCTGACCCAACGTAACCCCGCGTTGTCTACGGCAGTCTACGGCGACGGTTTCCGTTTCGCTCGGGCGCGGTGCCGGAGAATAAGTCGCGCGAATGATGTCACAGCCGTTGTCCGTGCCCACCTGTTTGGTCGTGGCGTGAGCCGTTTTCACGATGACGAAAAATCTGAAACCGTACTGCAACAGCCACACGTAAATGAACAAGGACGTTTTCGACGACGTCTCCAGGCTGGTCATGTGGTAGTACATGTCGAACAGCGTCATTATGCACAGGGTGCACAGGGTCATGCCCACCGGCACGGCGTACGCGTCGTTGAGCTCGGCCATAGCCTGGCGGACCAGCCGGTGCCTGACTCTCAGCTCCTCGACGGCCTCGACCAGCGGCCGTCCCGCGCCGGAATCGATGCTGCAGTAGTAGACGTCCTCGTCTCGGGCGACCCGGACGCGGCGCCGCCGCGCGACGTCCGGCCCGTTCCGGCACGGCGGGCAGCCGTCGTCGGCGATCGCCCCTTCGATGTCGTCCAGGTCCCGATTGACGGCCGCGAACTTCAAATACACCGCGTAGCACAGCCCGACGAACCGTGTCTCCAGCATGCACACGCTAATGTTTATCACGTACATGACCGCGAAGAACACCACGAGCAGCGACCGGTCGGCGATGCCCGACGTGTACAGGATGTACAGGCGTGCCGCGTTGACGGGCACGGTGAGCGCCAGGCACGCGGCCGTCACCGCGCATCGGACGGCCGCGTGGCGTCGGCGTTCCGCGGCCGCGGCCGGCCAGCGGGCGTCGTGCGCCGCGAGCCGCTCGCGGTACACGGCCAGCGCGGTGCCGCGTTTGCGCCACGCCACGGCGTACGACACGAAGCACGTGACGCACAGCGATCTGGAGTAAAGGCCGGTGAACGAGCTCATCGTATTCGGGTCGGTGCAACCGGCCTCCAGCAGGCATTCGAAAAACGGCGTCAACGCGAAGTTGAACACGCAGCACGCCATGACGGCGGCGTTGCGCGTGAATACCGTCGCCGATTTCCACGGTCGCAGTGCGGTTCGACGGCGGCGGCGGACCATTATAACGTTACCGTTACGCACAGCGGGGTGGAAATCGATCGGCGGATTGTCGCGAACGACGGCCGGGCAAACATTTCCGATGACGTTGCGACCGGGGTAGACGAAAACACAGAAATGTGTCGAAAAACGTGACGGCGACGTTTGCCAACCGTTCCAATCGATCGTTTACGCCCGGTTATTGTCGTCTCCGGCGATCGATTCCGGAACGCCGCGATTTTTCCGTCGGGACTACCGAGATTTCCTGCAGGGTTCCCCGCAAAACGACCGCGATTACCGAACGTCCGCACGCCGATTCCCGTTGGCGGTTTACCCACCGGGGTGTCATAATGAACGCGAGTTACCGCGACACGCCGTAAGAATGTTATCGTGGTCGCCGCACTCGCCCCGTAACCCGGCGTGCCGCCCCACACTGCCGAACGCGCGAACGAGCCGCGCAACGTTACCGCGTACGGCGGAAAGTGCAGCGCTGCTACGCTACCGCTCGCGGTACGTCAAACGGGGTGTTGGGGTGTAGGTACGACGGTTTTGTTTTGTTTTTTTTTCTTTTATTTCTTTTTTCTCTTTCGTCCGCCATAACCAAACACCGCGCGTGTTTGCTCGGTTCTGCCGCGAAAAAACATTATTTGTTTTTACTCGGCGCGTGCGTGCAATTATAATCGTCTGCCGCGATTGGCGGCTACTGAATAATACATTTCGCGGCGTTATTTCACGCGCGTGCGCAAAACATCGAACGCGCGCGCGGGCCGCATCGCGTCGGTGTTTTCCGTTAGGGACGCGTTAGGGACTTCTCGGAAAAAGTAATGAGAAAAACACGATAAACATTTCAAAGTTTCGCGCTACGCGGTACAGTGAACGATAATAATATTGCGGTAGCGGCGTTTTCTATCGTCGGGCGACGTGAAGGGGTGGGAGTGGGGGGTGAGAGAGAGGGGGCTAGCGAGCTACGTGTTCTAAATGCGTCTCCGTCTCGACCGCCGTGCGCGTATGCGGGGCGTGACGGAACGCGGCCTTCTCGTCCGGCCGCCCGAACAAATGCCGTTTTCGTCAATGTGCATTTCAACGCGTATAGCACTCTAAACAAAAGTTGACGAAAAAAAAAAAAGCCGGGCGACTCCGCGCGGGATTGCGGCCATTGTCGCGGGTGAGAAGTTTCGAAGGTAGCAAACGGAGAAATTTCTATGTATATCTGTAGGCAACGATGGACCGTTGCTAACGAATAAACGATTCTGAGCGGAGTTCAGTTGACAGTGTTGCTTTGTCAACAATACGATATATATCGTCTATATGTCATATTGTGGTAAAATGATTAAAACAATATGCGTTTCGATGACAACAATGATTGTTTAAAAAAAATTTAAACAAAAATTTAATAATAATTTTAAAAAAAATCAAAACGACTGCCAATGGCAACCTTATTTTTAATCTTTCAATCTTTTTTAACCTTAAGACCGAGGTTTTCCTTATTATCTCGAATATTAATGAGAATTTCAAAAAATGACCTTACTAAAATACCACCCAGAGAAAATTTCCTTTCAGAAAATGTGCTACACTTAATAATTGGAGTATGCTTTCAGGTAGAAAAACTGTTCACATAAAAAAAAATAATAATAAAAAATAAACATCATTGTAAAACCAATACATTCCTAGTTCCACTCAGAATCTAATATTACCGCTGGAGGCTTAAATAATGAAATAGATTTTGAGTGAAGTGAGATATGTATTGGTTTTTCAATGATGTTTAATTCTTTTTTTTTTTTGTTTTGTGAACACGTTTTCAGCCAGAATTTCCAGAAACCTTTTTTGTTGCAGTTTAAATCTAGTTTCGTATGGTTTCGTGAGTAATTTACGCATGTTTTAGCCTACATAGGACATACAGCGCTCCCAGTGGTGATAGTTGTTTGTGGAAAAATTTTCAATCAAGTTTTCATACGACACCTTATTAATAAATCTCGGGTAAAACCTAGATGTAAGTATGCTATGAATCACGATTGAAACATACAAGGCACGTGATACAAGGTCATTGCAGAATAATTTCGTCATTTTTTGATACACGAAAAATAAAATGGCAGCGTAAGGGGCCATGCTTTTATTGGCTGATACAAGATCAAAATTGACGGTAATATTTGTTTATTTAAACTGCTGATAAATAAACTAAAATATACTCATGATTAATTATACTCAATTTAACGTAATTATACGTTAGAGTTGTAGTAGCATAGAAAAAAGATTTATAGTTGTACAAGATCCGTTCGAAAGGAGAACATACCGCTCTGGCGACCGGTATACCTATACAAAATATTTTACCTACCTATTTTTTTTTATATACCTATTTTATACATTATATTACTATTTTATTATATTAGATATATTTATTTTAAAAATTATTAATTTTTTATTGTGTATTAATTAATATTAGTATACATTATACGGTCAAATTGTATTAAATAATATATTTTTTAATTTGTTAAAACATCGAAATCGTCATCGTCATCTTCGGTGTCGCTGTTTCCGACAGTTATAACAACTGGATGTTGCTCAGCCGTTAACTCGTCTACCGTGTCATATATAGCCCAAAACTTTTCTTCCTCGTTGAAAGTGTGTCGAATGAAATTCTTCCACATATCAGCGTCGACTTTTTCCACTCCGTCAATCAAAAGATTTTTTACATCAGCTAATTTAAACGTTTTATTGTTAGATTTAACATGTCGTTTTACCACAGACCAAGCTAACTCGATCGGATTGAGCTCACAATGATAAGGCGGTAACCGTAATATTGTTTTATTATGTTGTAAAACCATCTCATCAACAACGTATTTATTGTACAAGGGTTTTATTCTTTTTACCATTTCTAAAAGTTCGGGTATAATCAAAGTTGGGTCGACAACTTCTCCCTTGCTACGCAGCCATTCACTGATATCAGCCTTCCTCCAATTAGTAGTTGGGCATTTTTTCTGTCTTATCGAATGGTATGGTGCGTTATCCATTACTATAATTGCATTATCTTTGAGCCTAGGTAAAACACCTAACCAATCATGGAAAGTATTTCCATTCATCTCGTCATGATAGTCTTGGGTGTTTTTCTTAGACTCAAAGCATAGCAATCCACCTGGTACAAATCCATCTTCGGAGCCGATGTGACACACTATTAGTCGTTTTCCCTTTCCAGTGAGATTGACTGCTCCAATAGAAAGACCCTTGTCATATGCTGCTTGGCTTGACTGGACTGTCTTGTCACACCATACTTTAATCACCACGTCTCCGGCGTTCACCCACGTTTCATCGAGATAATAAATTGGTCGGCCTTCTTCTCGATATTTCCTTATATCTCTTATATATCTCCTACGCCATAAACGAACTTCGTTATTTTCAATCAACGCACTGTTCCGTCCTCTATTATGAAATTCAAAGCCCAATAATTTTAATAAACGCCAAAGGGTTGTTTTTGTAAACGCCGGTAAGGTTTCATCTTCGTTTAAAACTACTAATATTTTCTGAAGATTTGGCGATTCGCGATTAAACCAAAATTGATGTACGTGTCTTCTTATGGCATCTTTATCAAAATCATCAACCTTATCACCGACATTTTTACAACATTTTTCCCTATTAGGGGATGAAACCGTTTTGGAATTCCGATATTCGGTAAGTGTTTTAGAAATTGTCGTAAGACCAATGCCTAATTCGTTTGAGAGAATTACCCGTGCCTGTCTGATTGACAAATTGGGACTTGTCTCTAATTTTGCTTTGTAGATGTTAATAATCATCTGCTTTTACCGAGATGACACGAACTGAAATATTATACAAAAATATGCATAAAAAAAGGGTCAAGAAGAAAATATAAATCAAACAGTTATTTAATTATTTATCTTTCCTCTTTCGTTCCGCCTTACTGGTGATTGATGATCATTCTCTTCCCCAAGTTGCTCCATAATGAAATAAAAAACAACATGTGTTATACGCGTCGTATACACGGTAGGTACGTTATACGGTTAGTACAAGAGTGAATAATATTGTGTTATTTCGCACACGCGGTGTACAAGTTCACAAAACGCTAACGGAACGTGACGGCAAGCGCGCGCTCGTCGAAACGGCAATGCTTGGTGGGGGGGATGCGCGCCGCCGAACGTAAACTGATCGTCAGAGCGGTATGTTCTCTTTTGGAACAGGGTATAGTTTTAAATTTAAATTTGTGATAACAGTTAATGTTGATAATTAACCTGATAATAAATTAAATAAAGGGAAATATCAAGTTTATGGTGAGGACGGATGGTGATCGGTATTTTTCGACCACATCGTTATCATGGTCGAAAACAGAACACCGTTATGCCTCATTTTTAAATCAGTTTAATACAGCGAATTTCTTAAAACCACACCGGTTTACTATTTAAGGGGAAATATAAACCGGTTTGCGCTGGCGAATTTCTCGTATCTTTAACCGTGTGATAGCACGGATTAAATTATTCTGTGATACTATATCTATAACCGTGGTCACAATACCATAGATTATGATAAAGAGCTGATAACAACAATCATGGTCATGACCTTAGAGTTCTACCTATAATGTGGTAAAACCAAGATGAATGCTATGAATTATATGATATTTCTATAAAATATCTACTTTGTGGAAGATTTTAAATAAAGAAATCTAGGATTTTTATGCGTAGAAATCGGGATTAGAGCTAATAAACAGAACTTTTAGGTACACTTGGCAGGATTTTTCAAATTTTCACCTGGCAACACTGCGTAACCGGCAGACGACAGGTTCGTATCTTCGTGACGTCCAAAAGTTGTGTCGTTAATTTCCAGATTAATTTAATAAATATTATTATTATAAACTTGAATTTTACTCTGGTGTGAATTGTAATGTAATACCGTTTTTATTAGTAGAAAAGTTTGTTACTCAGTGGCCACTATGTCGGCTCCGACAAAAAAACGATTGCTGCAACCACGAGAATCTGATGGCAATGCTTCCGACGACCAAGAGGATAATGTCGAACAAATGGTAAATAGGTTAATATTCAGAGAAATTTCTACACGAAAATTTACATTATGTACATTATAAAAAATAACCTCCTAGAATAATGGGGACAGGTGCAGCTACTACTATAAAGTACCTCCCACACCGATTTCCTTTCAGTAAATGTGCTACTCACAGAAATCCGAGCAAGTCTTCTGGTAGAAAAGTTGTTAACAGATAAAAAAAAAAAACAAAATATCTTTGTAGGTTTTATGAAACCCCTCAGAATATAAAATAAATTAAATCTAAAATCATCATAAACTAATTAGTATCATGCCGTCGTTCGAATGATTTTTAGTGGAAATATCATAGTAATATGCTATTATTAATGATATAGATAAATTTTAATTCCATTTACACCATAAATATACGCATAATTGTGACCGTGTGAGCTATCTATTGATACTTTGGGCCAAATTAACAATTTATAGGTTTCCCTTTTGCTTATACCACTGAGCTATCTAGTGTATATTTAATCTATGATTTACACATTCTGTTTTTGTTTAAGATTATCGACGTAGAGTTTGAGGGTCGTAATCCAGAAAGTTCAGATTTTCACAGTGTCAAACAATTATTACAACAGTTGTTCTTAAAAGCCCAAGTAAACCTGTCCGATATGGCTTCGATATTGGTAAATCAGCGTGCTATTGGCAGTGTGTTAAAGGTATGGCCAACGATTATTATTATTTTCAAGTGAGACTGTTTAAACATTAGTTATTGAGCATGTAAATAAATAATTGATAATTTCTATCGAATCGTAAAACAAAATAGTCGATTTCCATAAGCTACATTTGATTTCCATCATTTGTTTGACAATGTTAATCAACATTGATTTATGATTTAGCAAGTTGTTGAAGACGAAGATGATGATGATGATAATGATGATGTGGATAGCAATCAAGTATTTGGAATAACTACAATACTTAACATGACTGATGAGGTGATGGCATATTGATAATGCATACCTATTTATTTTTAAATTAAAATATTTGTGTATATTACAGAAAAGCGAATGTGTAGAACAATTACACAAATTGCTATTGGATTTGAGTAAACAACATAGTGAAGTTGACACATTCAATTTCATAAATAATTTATTGAAAGACAATAAACAACCAGTAGCGTTATTAATAAATGAACGATATGTAAACATCCCACCTCCAATATCTGTACCATTATTGCAGTCCATTAGGTATATTATATAGGTTTATTATCATTAATAAAGAAAAAAACACCTTTATGGTTAGTGTTAAATTATTACACAAATAAATAAAATTACATTCCGAGCTATATAAAGTGCATTAAAAATTATATAGAAAATGTAACAAATAAATAGTTTTAGATTTTATAGTTCTCACCATTTTGTAAGAATTTCACTTTATAACTAACATTGCGATACAATATTATTTCAGCAAGGAGTTGGCCAAAATGAAAGCTTCAAATCCAGCAAGTGATTTTGCTTATCTTATTATGATATGTAAGCTATATAAGGTGAAACAAAGTAAGAGAGAGAACAAAAAAAATCAAAGTGAACAAGTATGGTCAAATGCAGAAGAAGAAGTGTTCGATGAAGTACGTATCAAAATGAAATAAAAATGTTTATTCAAAATCAAAGTTTAATGAAACTTATTTTTATATTTAATTTCCTTGTATTTCAGGAAGCTGAATACAAATTTGAATTTTGTGTGAAAAATGAAAAGGGCTCTGGCATGTCAGGCAGTTGGGATGAAGGGGATTGTGAAATGATTCCGTACAGACGTGTACTACTTTTCCCTACAAAAAAACTTGATTTCATTACTAACAAAATACAATCTTTATTGAATAGTAGATAATTAATATCATATTAAATATTTTTGTTATGTAAAGTAAAATTAAGAACAATGTGTAATAAAAAACTTATGATTTTCAAAAAAAGTATCAATCCCAACTGTTGATTACTGTTATAATACAGTATTATTACAGATAAGTATATTAAATTATATGGTTGTTGTTGCATTTAACTATTATTTCCATACATCAAAGTATAATGTTCTTGAAAAAATACTATACAATTACCAAATAAATTTATTTTTAATTTATAATATTAGAAACTTCAAAATGCTGGTTTATTTAACTGCACAAAAACATTTTTTATTACCCTTTTAAAAAAAATCATGTAATAATTGTAAAAACTCTTAAGGAAGTTAATGATCAAAAACAGACAATAATCAAAAAATAATTGAATAAATAAATTCCCTACACAAATTACTAAGTAATTACTAATTCTAAAATGGGGAAAATGTCCAACTAAAATAGTGGTGGAGGTAGTTAAATTGTCCTTAACCATTTAATAGGTATCTATCTCAATGACAAATGTTAATTTGCTGTGTTAAATATGTATTTAGATTAAACCTTTGAAAAATTGGTTTTATTTATTAAAATCGCAGCCATGTTGATGTTCATTACATAAAACTTAAGAAATTTTTAAAATGGTTGTAAATATCCTCATAGAAAAATCATTAAAGTTTTTTTAATGAAAACACCTTTTTTGAGTGAGTAGCCATGGTACATAAGTTCTAAGTGTACTTGATTAGGTAACCATATAACAAACAATTTATATTACAATGTGATAACTAGAAATTAATATTTTAATGTGATTCTAGTTTTACACTTATATAACCAGGGCTTGGATTTCATAGAATTTGTTAATTATTATATGATAGTAGACATTTGTTTTATCCACCAGGGACTTAATATGATATTTTAAAGGGAGCTATTGGTTTTAATAAGATATTTATTGTTTTCTCTTTTTCTTCCTTTTAGTCTGTGGACACTATTTCGTTTTATCCTATTAAACTTGTTCCGATTTTTACTTTAGGTCATTTTTTAAATAATAGCACTTAAGTGGGAAAAAACATACAGTTTCATTGTTTTATAAAAACAGATGTTTTCTACCAAAAAAAATTATTTAATTGAAAAATCACAAGAAACCTTTTTTATTTACTTATGATATCATTGCCAAAACTTGAGCTTTGAATGAATTTTAATTTTTAGGAGTTTTTTTGCTGTAGTTTAGTTATAAATAAGTTTAAAGACTTGAAACTTGGTAATATTACTTATATTGGACTTACCTAGAGGTGGTAAAATGTCCAAAATCATCTGACAACTGTTTTTTTTCTTTTAATAAGCATTTTAAATTAAATTTAAACGAAAATCACAAAAAAAATTATGGCACTTCAAATTATGTATTATTGAACTGTGCTTGGAATCATCTTTCATCAAGCAATGGTTTATTGTTGCTTACAGATATAAATGAAATAACCTTATGTATCCTACCTTCCCAACTTCTCACCTACAACAATGGTTGCTCCCATCCCCAGTATCTGCTTTTTTTTTTTTTTTGCATATTTGAAGTATATTAAATGTTTATTGCTATTTTTCAAGTTTTGATGTTATAAATACATATAATGATTTATTTTGTATTTTTTATAAATCTTGTTTACATTGAATAAAAATTTAAAATTTGTCATTTACGTGAAGAAAAATATCTGAATTTCCATTTCATATTACATTTTTTTTTTAATAGACCGGTGTATTGGCCCATCAAACAGTATACATTTATAACTTCTTATTGGTTAATTTATATATTTTTTTCCAGGAATATTCTATTATATGTATTTCAAGTATTTTTGAATTGTCAACACAAGAAAAATAAAAATTAATAAATAGGTACGTTTTCTTTCTTGCTATTTTTTTTGTCTTTATAGTATATAATGCATGGTTCTTTTATTTTTAATGTTACAAAATCCGAGCCCTGCTTATAGCCATGTACTTGATAACTTTTCTTTTATAATTTTGATTTTTCTAATAAATAAAAAAAGGGGCGTTGTTAAAAAATAAAATGCCTTTGATAGACATTAACTAGTCAGAAAGTTAAGTGTGGTTTCTTTAACTTTTAACTATTAATTGTTTGTTTTATTATTGGTAAGTTTTCATTGTATAAATTTGATTTATACAATTCATCCTTTACCTTTCATCTTAATAAGCATCCAATTGAGTTAACAAATTGAAGACCTAATTTTTTTTTTTTTTTAAATTAAATTTTAATTGACTTCTAAGCGATTCATGTATCACAGTTTACTGTGATAATTGGATTTTATTTTTGTATAAATTTAAAATATATTAATTGACATTGAATACTTTTATAATAATTTTTTGTCGAAAAAAGAATATTACTTATAACTTAAATAGTTTATTTTGTTTATATAATATAATTTAGTTATGTTTTTATTAACTTTTTCACTTTGATAACTGGTGTCTGGTAGACATAGAGTAGTATGGTATATTACTTGATGTTATATTACATTTTAAATTTATAGTTTTCTGCTGGTGATATACATGATTTAAAAATTATACTATAATTGATCTAATGAATGCAATGATTATTGCACAATAGCCTAGCCAGATGTTAGAAAAGAAAATAACACATTGTGTTCGAGAAGTCTCAATAAACATACCATTTAAAGCTTTAAAAACCAGTTATCAAAATGCATCACATCTTAAGTTGACGAGTAGGTCAAATTTTTTATTTGATGACAATATTTTGATTTAAAATTTGTATTAACTTTCAAAGCCAAATATTTTAGAACACTTTATAAACAAAATAAAACGTAAGTTGTTGAACCAAAGATTTTTTTTTCTTCCATTGTTTAGAAAAATTAGTAACAAATACCATTATTTTTATCATTATAAATGAAAAAACTAAACCCAGTGTCCCTTTATAACTAGACCTATAGAGTAAAATGTAATTAAACTAATGAAAGATATTGATTGCTATTTATAATTTTAGAAAACCGAATTATTGATTACTGAAACAATGAACCTAATCAATCTTTGTTTTTTTCTAATTGAATGCATTTTATTTACCCAAATATAAGTTAACACTTTATTTTATCGGTAACCAATTGTCTACAGATTACACAGATATTATATATTTGTTGACAAATTTTTACTTAACTTCTTAATAGTACTAAATAAATTACTAACTTATTATTATTCGACTGAATATCCAAGTACATATTTTATTTTATAAAATAAAGACAATAATTCAGATGTATAAATTAGTAAAAAAAGTTTGTTTAAAAATTAATGGTACAAAATAAAAAAAGTTATTTTTTAAGGAAAAATTCTTAAGTAATATAAGTGGTTACATAATTATTAAATTACAATAATATGTCCATCAATAATAACTTAATCTGACATTTAGTTTAAATTGAAATGCTATAAACTACAAATACTGCATACCGTTGTACAATAAATTACGTAACTTAACTAGGCAAAAATGTAAATTTGTTTTTGATGCATTCTAAATTATTCAGGATACACTGCACACAGAACACACAAATTGTTGAGATTAATCTTAAGTAGTAATTTATTCGTCATCTTCATCCTCGTTTTCATCTTTGCTGTCTTCATCTTCGGCGGATTCTTCCTTTTCTTTTTTGTCACTTTTCTTTGGACGGCCACGTTTACCAGTCTTGCTCTAAAAGCATAAAAAAATAATAATGAAAATTCAAAAAAACATGTTTTTTTGAAAAAGAATTATACCTTAGGCTTGTCTGAAGATTTTTTTCCACCTGAAGCTCCAGACTTGGGAGGACGTCCTCTACCTCTTTTAGCTGGGACTTCATCATCCTTTTTCACAACATCCTTGTCTTTCTTCTCTGTTTCACGTGCACGCTTCTTGGGCTCCTTAACATCCTACAGACAATTTAAATCATGTATAAATAAGCGAATTAAAAAATATATATCAATTGTAATAATAATTATTGAATTTGTTTGTTATAAAACTACTACAAATAATTACCTCGGACTTGTCTTTTGCTGGACGTCCACGCCTCTTTTCTACTACTGCTTCAGAGTCAGACATCTATAAATAAATTTTATGTTAAGATAATATTTATCAATAAAAGTTCATCGGATGATGAAAATATAAAATAAACAAACTATACATTTATAACCAATAATAAATTAAAAATCATCTAATAGAAAATGGTTGCATTTAATATGGACAGCGACTATTTTATACTTTAATTTATTCTAAAAATTACAAAAACGTAAAAAGAATATGCCTTAATAATGCAAAATATGCAAATTTGCCAGATAAAACTTTATGTAGGTACACACAAAATTGTTACGTAATGCACTTTTTTTTTTTTATTTAAATGCCAATATATATATATAGGTATATGTACATACAGTAGCTAATAATATGAATATCATAGTGGTTTGTTTAATAGCGAAATTAGTTAAATTTGTACGTATTGTAATTTAAATTTTCAATTAAAAAATACAGAATAAATATATTATTTATATTTACTTGTAAAAAAAATAATAAAGTCAAATTAAACGAGCAAGTGACTAATTGAAAAAAAAAATATATGTCTATAGTTCTATGTGCTAATTATTAATCATGGTTATTTTCGTAACTGATAAATAAAATAATAGGTACACAAGGAATACTAGGCAATAAAAAAAATTGCGTATTTTCAATAACAAATAAAATTATTTATCACGATTTCACGCCATTCATAATTATATTACGCATCTAAAAAAACGTAATTTTCAATATCGATCGCCTTTGTGTTAATTTACTAAATTGTTTGGGGATAAAAAAAAAAAAAAAAAAAACAATAAACTCAAAACTCGGTTCGGAGGGATCGTAAAAAAAAAAAAAAAACAACCCTCAATAGGTACGCCGTAAAACTACTTTTCCCGTCAAACGTTCGGCCGTAATAGTTTGGAGGGGGTTATGTTTTTATCACCACAAATAATATTATTGTACATACTAAAGATAAACTCCGGTCCGACGAACGGAATTACGGAATTTCGGGTTGTTGTGCGGACGCCACCATTCGCCGCGGGACGCGTAAAATCGAAAAACAAACAGAGGGGAAAAATTATCGACGGACAAAATGGAAAATTCTATGGGAGAAAATTATCGATGCGGACAACAGAAAAAAAAAAAAGGAAAATATTCGACGGCCGCCGCAATTTGGAGGGGTGATTTGTTTTTTTTTTTTCTCTCGACCGTTATTACAACGGACCAATGATATTTCAAAAAAAAAAAAAATTAAAAAAAAATCATCGATTGTTTATAATAATATCTATACCACAAATCGGCGCCGGACGCGCTTAGTGGTAAAAACAAAACAAAATTCCCCCGAAACAATGGAAATCGATACGGAGACGTACGCGAAAATTAAGACGCGACTGGCATTTTAGACGCGGGTTAATGAAGGCGGCGGAGGCCGCGGCGGGAGGACGCGCAGAATATAATGAAAAAAACCTACTGCAATAGACCGGAAATCGCCGGAATAAAATACGATACGGAAGTCCTACACTATTATGCCCAATAATATCAATTTGAAAATATATCAACGGCGGCTACGACGATAACGCGACGGCGGCGTCTCGTTACCCGCCATTATTACAGTGAACGGTATAGGAAAATCGATGAAATCCCCGTCTGCGCGCGTACTTTCGGTACGGAGCCGCACGGTGTACAAAATGTTTATACTTACGATAGTGAAGATTGTTTGATGGGTCCTTGTTGACAGAAAAATGAAAAAATTAATACAAAAGACTGAAGGTAAAACGAACGAAAAAAAAATTAAAACCGCGGAGAAAAGGCCGAGCGTTCTACGAAACGGTCCAACGTGAAATAATATAATATAATAAATAAATAAAAACGCTCTCCGCTCAACGGTTCGAAAACAACATGTCGACTGTTGACAACAAAAAGGCGGTGCGCCATTGGTCCGGACGCGGTCGTAAACGTTACGCGCGGACCGTCGCTATGTTCGCGGTTGTAAATAAACGGCGAACGCTCTACGGCACCGATACGCTGATAAGACCGGGCCATAACTGATAACGAGTGACGTGTCTGGCAGATTGCTGTACTGTAGAAAAACATTACTCTTAGCAGCGGTGTCTGCGATGTCGATGTGTAATGTGTATAATTCGGGTGTCGAATACGAGACGTCGGTGTCACAACATTTAGTACATATTGCATAGATATTATTGCAAAGTTTTGATATTTTTGTTGTCCGCGATCATTTTCGTTTGTTTGATACTCATTGCCTAGCCGAGACGTCAATGGCGTTCAAACGGGACAAAAAAGAAGAAGAAGACGGTAACTGTTTGTTTCCAATTCTACGCCCAAAACACCCTATCACTACTTACTACATCACACACTATCTGTGTGTTTAAGTCCCCGCGGTTATAATAATCGTCTAGTCAAAGTTTAATGTGCGATACGTCTATGTGTTCGTCATAATAATAATATTTAAAAAAAACTGTCGACGTCGTCAATCATGTAGTACACCTACCTACGTCCTACTACTACTGTGCAAACAAAATTTTTTTTGTTCTTTTCTTTTTTGTATAATAAATAATATTATTTTTATCATTTATTTTTTCAATTCATATGTATCGATAAAACATGTTCAAACGTAAAAGTAAATGTGTTTTTAAAGGAGGCAATCCGTATCAAAATCTCGAAAAGACCAGTGTCCTCCAGGAAGCAAGAACGTTCAATGATACTCCTGTGAATCCGAGAAAATGCACTCACATCCTTTCCAAGATACTCTATATGATAAACCAGGTATATCCACGAGCACACCTAATAGTGTTTTATATTTAAACATACGTTAATATTTAATATAAATTTAAAGGGTGAACAACTCGGAACGGCTGAAGCTACCGAAACTTTTTTCGCTATGACCAAACTATTTCAGTCTCGCGATATTATACTGAGAAGAATGGTTTATCTTGGAATCAAGGTTGAATACTTATCCTGTTTCTCAATTTATGACATGTACCTTATAAAAAAAAAACCTTATAATATCAAAAGTAATTTTTTTAGGAATTGAGTGGAATAGCAGAAGATGTAATTATTGTAACTTCAAGTCTAACCAAAGATATGACAGGCAAGGAGGATACGTACAGAGCAGCCGCCATAAGAGCACTCTGCAGTATTACTGATGTATGTATAATATACATATAAATTTGAAATTTTAGTATTTTTTTCCTTTCTTTTTAAGGTATCTATGTTGCAAACAATTGAGCGTTATATGAAACAAGCTATTGTTGATAAAAATCCCGGTATTAGCAGTGCTGCTTTAGTGAGTTGTTTACATTTGTGTAAAAATACTTCCGCTACTGATATCGTTAAACGTTCACTTAACGAAATACAAGAAGCGCTAAATTCTGACAAGTTAGTCAATTCCTTTTGATTATAACACATTTTATGAGTAATCAATAATTATTCATCTTTTAATAGTGTAATGGTACAGTATCATGCATTAGGTCTGTTGTTTCACTTAAGAAAATCAGATCGTTTGGCTGTCACAAAATTAGTGGCTAAACTTACAAAATCAAATATGAAATCACCTTTTGCAGTTTGCATGTTGGTATGTAATTTTTATAATATTTATAACTATTATAATGATTTATTTATTATTATTTGCAAACAATCATTGGTTGAATATAGTTACAAAATTTACATATGTGTTTACCCACCCCTTTAAGCAATGCTTGTGATGGAGATAAGGAGCACATAAGAATAAACACACAAGATAAGCTAACATTTAAGACTTACAAAATAATATAAAGAAAGGAATACACTAAAGCAATGAAAAACTAACAAAATAAAAAGAGAAAAAAAAAATTAATAAATATTAAATATAGTTAACTTTTTACCAATTTTAGATTCTGAGTGGAAGGAAAAAGCTTATGGTTTTACAAATCTTACCAAATTGTTTTTTTTTTTTTTTTCTATTAATAACTTTTCTACCAGCAATTTTGCTCCAATTTATAATGATAGCAATGTTTCTAAAAGCAAATTTAACTGAGAAGATACTTTAAGGAGGGCATTTTTCTATTTTCTCAAGAATTTTTTAGGCAAATGTGAAAAACTGGAAAAATCAGTACAATATTAAAGAAAACAGAAAGTTTGTTTAATTATTTTATTTAAATTTGACATATATTGTTGACAAAGCATCACTATCAGCTGAACTCCACTCAGAATCGTTTTTTCATAAGCAATGGTTTATCATTGCTTACAGGTGTACATGAAATTACCTAAAACAGTAGCTGCACCCATTCCCATTATCCTAGGATGCCTTTTTACTCTTAAAAATTAAATTATTTTACACATACATTATCATAATTTAACTAATGAGATTTTTTAAAGCTATAAAGGTCAATGTACAGATTAATACTTATATTTAGAGATCTACATTACTAAACTGTTATATTTAAACTACTTCTAAGACCAAAGGACTTATTACACTTAGTTTTGACCACATTAATATTTTTCTTATATCTTGTATTATAATCATGCTGACAATTACGAATATGATTTTTATTATTGTTTGATAAAAGTAAAACATTTTATTTTAAAATGCATATCAAAATTGAATATACCAAAATATGTGGAAATTAGATCTGTGCTACAGAAATTAGGTAGTCCAAGAATATATTTAATAAGTTTGTTTAAAGTGATCTTTAGTGAGGCACGAATTATAAATCCCTCCCCATATTTCAATACTGAACGTAATAACTGATTGAACAAGAGCCATATATATTAATTGTAGGTTATGTAAGTCAAAAACATTCCTAATATTTATGAATATGTAAAAATGCTTCCTAACGATTGATATAACATAATTAATGTGTATTTTCCATTTTAGTTGATAGTCCATGTGTAAACTTAAGTACTTAACACTATCAACTTTCCCAATATCTTTACAGGAACAATTTTCCAATTCATTAGATACATATAACCCTGAATGATTAATTATTTTGTATTCATTATTAATGGTTACATTTTGTATATTGAATACATTGTGTTTAGATTTCTCAAAATTGAGTTCTAGAAAATTATTGTCAAACAATAACTTTATTAATTTAAAAATTTGGGTAGCTTTGTTGTACAGAATTTCAGTATTTTTATTTTTTGTAATATAAATTCATAATCTACAAAACTAATTAATTTGGCTAATAAATTTAATAATAAACATCAAAATTTGACTAAAATGTATTTAAAACAAATTAGATAAGAATGGCATGTAAACTATTGGAAGAAGAAACTATTCCAAGATCAGAATCTGCACTATTCGAGTTTGTGGAGTCATGTATTCGCCATAAATCAGAAACTGTCGTATATGAAGCTGCACATGCAATTGTACATTTGAGTGGTACCGGAGCCAGACACTTGGCACCTGCTGTCTCTGTATTACAATTGTTCTGTTCTTCGGCTAAACCTACATTGCGGTTTGCTGCAGTTCGAACTCTCAATAAAGTATGAAAAATATTCATTACTGAAAGTACAACTTAATGAAGAATAAATGTAATTTATATTTTAGGTCGCTATGGAACATCCAACTACAGTAACTGCATGCAACTTAGATCTTGAAAATTTAATTAGTGATTCTAATCGTTCAGTAGCTACCTTGGCTATAACAACATTATTAAAGACTGGAGCAGAAGCATCTATCGATCGCCTAATGAAACAAATTGCAACCTTTGTGAATGAAATTTCGGATGAATTTAAAATTGTTGTTGTTCAGGTACAAATTTGTTTAATAATTGGATAAGTAATATTATAATAAATAAAGTTTTTAATTAATAGGCTATAAGGGCATTGTGTTCAAAGTTCCCTCGTAAACACACTGTTTTAATGAACTTCTTATCCGGTATGCTTAGAGAAGAAGGTGGACTAGAATACAAAGCATCAATAGCTGATACGATTATAGCCATTATAGAAGAAAATCCCGAAGCAAAAGAAACTGGTTGGTTGTATTTATAGTATCAAAACTGCTTGTGTTAATTTATTATCAAGTCATATACTTAAAAAATATATAACTATAAAAGAATACTGTCATTATATGACACTAATTTGTAGATTATTATTGATTTTTTATATTTTAATTGTTAATAAATTAATAGCCTATTAATATTATTTATTTTTGATTTATTAGGACTTGCTCATCTCTGTGAGTTTATTGAAGATTGTGAGCACACTAGTTTGACCGTTCGTATATTACATTTATTAGGCAAAGAAGGACCTCGTACCAAACAACCATCGAGGTATTTTTTTTTTTTTTTTTTTTTTATTAATTTTATTTAAAATTGACTCCAAAAAAATATATATTTTTTTTTTTAGGTATATAAGATTTATTTATAATAGAGTAATACTAGAAGGTGCTGTTGTACGAGCTGCAGCAGTTGGAGCAATGGCAAAGTATGCTGCTAACTGTTCAATGCTTCATGACAGTATAAAAGTACTATTGAAAAGATGTTGCCTCGATGTTGATGATGAAGTTCGAGACAGAGCAACATTTTATAGTCAATTATTGAGTTCTAACAACAGTCAGTTAATCACTGATTATTTGTCACATCCCATGCATGTAATTTATTTTTTAAAATAAAACTACTAATAATTTTGCCATACGCTAATTTAAATAATTATAATAATTTTAAAAAAAATACATTCATTAGGTTTCGTTACCAGTTTTAGAGAAAACTTGTCAAGATTATGTTATAAATCCAACAAAAGAGCGTATTAACCTTAATGAACTGCCAGCCGATACTGTAATTAAAAATGTTGGCATTTCCCAAGAACCTATTAAAAAACACACTGTTGATAATGTCAAACCTGGTAAATCATACGTTTTTGTCATAATATCCATTTTAATTAAAACAAAAAAGTATAATTCAGATTTTAAAATATGTATAGTTATTTGTTTTTAATAATTTTTTATTAAATAATAATTACTTAGGTGTATAATCACATTTAATTTTATAAAGTAAACAGTATTAAGACACAGATAAATTATTAGTGGTAAAATATGTCTTAAAAATTAATAATATTTGTTGACTTGAATATAGTTGAAGCAAGTGTCAAAAATGTGGATGGCCAAAAATTGTCTGCTCTGCTTGATCTGAATGTTGGTAATTTATTCTGTTCATCTGATAGTTCTATGTTAACCGAAGCAGAAACAGAATATGTAGTACGCTGTACTAAACACATATTTAATCAGCATTTGGTTCTACAAGTACGCATGCATACTGTTACAGAGTTACATTATTTTTAAGAACATTTTTGAAAGAATAAATTATAATTTTACACGTTTTAGTTTGAAATCACTAACACGTTAGATGACCAAATTTTAGAAAATATTTCCATTGCTCTTGATATAAGTGAAGGATTTCAATTCATCAATGAATTTACTTGTCCATCCATAAAGTATCAAGAAACCGGCAATGTTTACGTTTGCTTAAAGTTTCCTGATGATTCTGTTGATACTATTGGTAAAATCAAACCTAATCGTCTATTTTGTACTATTCTTGGTTTATGTTGATTATTTTATAATTTCAGCAAGTTTCACTGCCAAAATGAAATTTATTGTTAAAGACTGTGATCCTATAACTGGTGAAGTTCAAGATGATGGTTATCAAGAAGATTATAGGGTATATACTATATAATATTTATATTTAAAATAACTAATTCTAGTACAATGAATTAAATTTGTGTTTCTTTTAAATTTAAACAATTTTAGTTAGAAGATGTGGAAATGACTCTGAAAGACCAAATGTTACAAGTCAAATTAGGAAATTGGGACACTTTATGGGAGGAAGCTAAGGGTGTTTGTTTTGAAGTTCAAGAAACATTTGCACTGCCGTTAACAGACGGGGGCTTATCAGATACCATTAATCAAATTATATCATTTCTTGGAATGGCTGCTGCTAACAATACTGACAACGTACATCCACCAAATAAATCATCCCATATAGTTAATTTAGCTGGTAATTAATTAACTACTACCGTATCACTTCCAATATTTCATATTATTTCTATTTAGGTATGATGCGAGGGAATTGTAAAGTTCTGGCTCAAGCAAAATTAGCTTTATCAGATAATGTCGTAAACATTCAACTCACGGTGCGTTCTATGGATGAAAGAGTTGCTGAACTTGTTGTATCTACACTCGATTAAAGAGTTTATAAATTCATTTTTTTTGTTTTTTAAATACTCAGGACGTAAGCCCATTCTATACATTTCTGGGTTTATATTAATCTATTCTTTATTTTAAATATATATTTTATGCACATAATATGTGTATTAGTAAATATTATTATTTGATTAATTATATTTTACACTTTTAAATTGTTATACATAAATATTATTTGCTACTTATTTCGAGTTGATTATTTTACAGAAAATTTTATGAAACTATTCCAAAAGAAAAAAAATTATTTTCACATAATTATAATTATAAATGTATTATGGTTAAAAAGTTTTTATCTATTTATTATATTAGAGAATACTATGTACATAGAAATAATTTATTATAACAGTAATATTTTTGAAGGCTGTCCAATTGCTCTTTTAAAAATGTGATTCCTCATCATTGTACATAAAAAATAAGTACATGTTAATAAATTTGTTATTTAATATAACATCTGTCAGTGTTTACAAAAAAGGGTTACATGCGGTTTCATAAAAAGATAATTTTGTCCCAATATTGGGAGTTTTTGCACCAACAAAGGGTTAAAATTTAAACTGTCACTTTGTATGGTCATTATTTTTATAGTTTCTGATTAAAAAGTCTACTACGACGAGCACCCGCGGTACTTGACCAGGCGTGGTGTACCGTAATAATATCTGAGATTTTGTACCTATACGCGATTTTTCGTTCCCAAGGGAGATTGAGAATATCTATTTACGGATCGAGGTCTTGGTCCGACGTTGGTACCAGTGGAAAAACAAAATTTAATAACGTTTTTAAAACACGAGCGTAAATAACGACGTTTTGTATTGCGTCATCGTTCTAGAGCAGGGGTCAGGAACCTACGGCTCCTTAAATGCAATCTATGGCTCTTTGAAAAATGCATCAATATCTAGACATTCTAGAGCATTCTAAACATTCTATCTATAATATATAAATTCAAATTTGATTATATGCCTACCAATTCCCAATGCTTAGTAAAATGTATTAGTCATTTTTTTTACTATGGTATGTTATTATTTATCTTAACCGTTGTGATTCTTCGATAGTCATGATTTTGCAATTTTTTTTAAAAATGGCTCATTTTCACGAAAATGTTCCCAACCCCTGTTCCAAAGCATTGAATCCGTCGACCTCTTTCATACGAAGCCACCAGAGCAGCGCCACCAAAAATACAACGCCACTATTCATGCTTCCAGAAGTGCATCTTTGTGGATTATTGTTTACGATAGGTCAGGCGCGACGTTTAGGGTGGGGGGAATAGGAACCCCTAGACATCAAACTAACTATAAATAATAATTTCTTTCAGAAATCTGTATAGAAATTCAGGGTGTTATTAAATTTTAATCACGACCTCTGCAGTTGTGACTTGTGCTATCACATTAAGCGGTCAGGGGTCATATTGACTGCCTCAACTAAAAGTATAATTTTTAGACCAAAAGGATATTTCTAGGGGGGAGCCCCTAGAAAAAGAACCAAATCTGTTACTGCCAGAGGTAAACCTAAATTTGAAATTTAGTTCAGTACCAAAATGGAAGTCGACAAGCTAGCATGTGTAAAGCATAATCTATACATTCGTGTTGTACGTAAACAAGAAAAAAATAAACAAATTCTACGTCCTAATTTTCATCGCGAAACGTTATAATTTTACGTCGTCGACCGCGTTACGTCCACGATTCTTTAATCGTGGTTACGATCAGAAACTGCGAGATAAAGTTGTGTGTATGGAGTGGCTGAACAATTTCTAAAATCATATCGATCAGGGGTGTAGCCAATGGGTAGGCCCGGGCATACACAGATTTTCTATAAAAAAAAATGCAATAATGTATAAAAATAATATACTAATATTAGGACAGAGATTAGATGTGTAAATAACCCGAGGGAAAAGAAATTATAGAATGTAAAAAATTGTGTAATTTTTTTTTTTTATTTCATCATTCCGATGATTTCTTATAAAATTAAAATATCAATGTTCATTGGGTAAAACATTATTTTCATCTAGTTCAGATCTTTCTAAATTGTTTGACCTGGTTAACTGTAAAATAACATAAAATAGGTATTTTAGATTCTGAGTGGAGCAAAAAGAAGCTAATGATTTTACAAAGATGTTTATTTTTTTGATCTATGAACAACTTTTCTACCTGAAATCTGGCGCCGATATTTAAGTGTAGCACTTTTTCCGAAAGGAGATCTGACCGGGAAGTACTGAGGTTAATTTTTTGATTTTTCCCAGAAGTTTGCCAAAGAAATGGTAAAATTGGTACAATATTAAATTATGGTTTACTTATAAATCTAGTACAAAAACCGAAATTTCGAGAGAGTGCTTAAGTAGATTTTTTCCTCAACTTAAATTATTTAGTCAGAAAAAACTAGAAAAAAATTTACTGAAATAAAAAAAAATAATAATATTAATTAATATTGCTTATCTAATGTTTTCATTATCACCACAATAACGCAAAACATTAATAACGAAATTTAAATTTGTATACGACTATAAATTGGCCTGTAATTTAACTCTCGATTAAGTACATTTTTATCAACAGATAAAATTTAAAACATGATTTAAGGCGTTTATGCAACATAATTTATTTTAATTCTAGACAAACGATCTTATGTTTTTTGCGGTATATATGGCTATACAATGTATGTACCTTCCTGAACCTGGCAGTGGCGTACACAGGATTTTTCAATTGGAAGGGCGTTTGAAAATTAATAATTAATCAGTCGTTTTGTCACAAGTTTAAAAATTTAGGTATGTCAGTAGATGCATTCTTAGTTCTGACTGATATCAAACAAATTATACACAACGACCGCGTTCAATTGATGCTCGCCAAAATGACTAGACATCATGTAGGCCACCCAACAGATATGTGCCACTCGATAAATGTTCGCCACTTTGTTTGTCAACTATTTCAAAACCCATTGTTTCTGCAATATTTCAGTTTTTGTATGGTAGATATAAGAACTTATACAGAGTCAGAATAGCATCCCAGTGAGCCCCTGATTACATTCAATACCTATATAGGGTAGATTCTGTAGAACTAAATTACCTAACCTATTTAGCTATTTAGTATATTATCGAAGCCACGTTATGCTATTTTCTCATCTTTTCAGACACGACATGGGAATTTGTTGACAATAAAGCAAAATATGAATTTAAAAAAGTTGTACGTATACTAACATACATGAAACAGTCATTGATTATTAGTAAGACTTTTTATATGACATTCACTATAAATAGTATGCACATTGCCATATTCCTCTAAATGAATTAACAATTCAAATTTGTAAAAGCAATGAAATGTGTATTAATACAAGTAAATGTAAACAAATTCTAAGAGTCCAAAGTATCAGATACTTAGGTGTTACTTTTGATAAACATATGAGATGGGATTTACATATTAACTATTTAATTAAGCGTTTGCGTGTATCAGTACATCATTCTTATAAACTTCATTTAATTTTAGCAAAACATCTCATTAGAATAGTATATATGTAATTTTATCAAGCAGTTTTCTAAAATGGTATAAAGATTTGGGATAGCATAACTGAAAATGCAATTTAACCACTACAGCTACAACAAAATAAAATGATAAGTTTGTCTGGGTAGAAAAAATTTGGTGAGATCAACAGTGCTAAACTATAATGAATTGCTATAAACTATAAAGTGTTGCCATTTAAATTAATTTACAAAAAATTTACGATATGGGTAGTAAATAATATAAACATTTGGTTTAAGATTAACATAAAAGAATCTAAAAGAAAAGACAGGAGCATACAATGCCCCTGTAGTATATTATACTAATATCTCGTTTGGTCCAAGATTTCTGGACTATCTAGGCCCTACTTGTTTCAATTTCATGAACAATCAATCAAAAGAAACAATATGTGTAACGCCAAAATGTGCAAAAAAAATTATAACTGATGGGCTGTATATAAATATGGACAAACTTTAATATAAGGTTTACTGTATTCATAAGTTTCAATATAAGTTATATAAAAAGTTATGAATTTTAAATTTAATTGTTAATTGTCAAATGTTATTTTAAGAGTTTTGAAATTTTAAAAATGTATAATTTATATATTAGTAAAGTTATTATATTTTAATAATAAATACTCTATATTAAATAAATAACTGTATGTTTTTCACAATTTAGAATTAAATTGTTCATATATGTTTATTAACTCGTTTAATGATATTTAACTTAGTTATAAATAAAGTATACTAATTGTTTTATTCATAATGCTATTATGTTAATTAATTTTATTAATGTTTTTACATTTATATTTTACAATTTAGGGAAAAAATAAAAAATAAATAATGATGTGATTGAATATCAATAAAGATTACGAGCAAAGCCGTAATTAGGTAGAGGGAGACAGGGGGCAGTTGCCCTAATCTTTGATAAGATACATAGATTAAAAGAAGTTGGGAACCATTGTGTTAAAATATTTACCTAACTTTACTAAATATGATGAACCTTGTATTGAATATGTTAATATTATATGGACCCAAACAAATGTATGCAAATAAATGAAAAATATATGATTAATAATACTATTAGTAGTAGTATGCAAAATATTTCATCAAAATCTGAATTTCAAACGCCTACAAAAAGATCTAGAACTATCGACAGATATTTGACGATTTTAAATTATCAGAAGATTAACTCATGAAAAACCATGGATACTCTTGTATCCACAAAAAAATATAAAACTCAACATTTTTAAATAACTCAAAAAAAAACACCCAAATATTTTCAAAATTATAACACATTAGAAGTACTATTATATACATATAAAGAACATTTCTGATTTATTTTATTATTTTTCACTGAATTATGAAAAAATAATAATAATCAAGATATTAATAGAAAAAAAAAACACATGAGACCTAATAAAATGTTCCCCTGACTCAAAATCTTAAAAATAAAAAAAAAATTTAATTTGGAAAACATTTATTATCGGCAAAAAAGTACAATTTCTTTTCCTTGTGTAAATTGTACAATTTATTAGAAGATAATAGTAACAAATAATCTTTAGTCATACATGACATTATTATTATTGATAAAATGGCACAAATACAAGTGATAACACTCGGAAGTTGTCAAATAAAATATTTTAATCATTGTTCATAATAATAATAATAATAATAATAATAATAAGGGCTAAACTTAAAATTAGACGAATAAACAAATATCACTCGATACTGTCCCGCAATGATTATAAATTATAAAATCAATTAGGCTGGCAAGAGATCGAAATCATCGCTGACTAGAACCATTGGTACATGTTCCTCATCAATATTGGGCTCAGAGCTGTAGGTACACAACTGTAGTTCCTTTAATTTCCATCCCCAATCCATTTTCTGTACAGCGTGTAGACTCTCTGCTTCATTGTGATGTCTCAGTAACATGGATTCCTTTAGTAATTATAAAATATTTAAATCTTGTTTTCTATGTTCATAGTCAGGTTTTCAACATTTTTACCTTTATTTTTTCCCATTTGTCATCCACATCTTGTAGCCATGAAAGGAAAAGTCGACCGTTATACCGGGATCTTGCGTGTCTATCCTTTTCTTCTTCTTGCTCAGGTGTCATAATATTATATACTTCGTCATCTTTGAGTATAGTGCACGCAGAAAAAGGTAATAACTGATTAGCTAGTGCACGTGCTGCGCGACCATGAACCCTGAGTATCTCTTGTTCAACGCTCAATACCAGTTTTTCCTTTTCAACAATGTGCTAGAAATAATAACATAAATAATTATACCTATATGGACAAAACAAATATCTATTTTTAACAAACCTGTACACGAAGTCTTTGTCTCTCCTTTTCTTGTTCAACAAACAGTTTTTTCAACTGTTCGTGTAGATTGGCTGGTGATGGAGTTTGTGTATTTACAACTCGGCT